GTCGCCCAGGCTGGAGTGCAGTGGCGCGATCTCGGCTCACTGCAAGCTCCGCCTCCCGGGTTCACGCCGTTCTCCTGCCTCAGCCTCCCGAGTAGCTGGGACTACAGGCGTCCGCCACCACGCCCGGCTAATTTTGTAGGGGGGGGATTTTTTGTTGTTGTTTGTTTTTTGGGGGTTTTTTTTAGGAGAGACGGGGTTTCACCGTGTTAGCCAGGATGGTCTCGATCTCCTGACCTCGTGATTCGCCCGCCTCGGCCTCCCAAAGTGCTGGGATTACAGACGTGAACCACTGCGCCCGACTTGCCGCCACCTTTAGCCCTCACAGCCTCCCCTGGAGAAGCGGAGAGAGACAGATGATCCCATTGCACAGACGGGAAAACTGAAGCCCTGAGCGTCGTGGCGCTCGCCTCTTGCGAGCTCGAGCTGGGCGTTGTCACCTGCTGTCGAGTGACGGTCGGTCACTAGGCTGGTCTCTAAAGTCCGTTGTTGATCTCGGGAGTCGTGACCTTGACAGAATTCAAGCCAGGGTGCTTTTTGCCTCTCCAGCAGAAACCAGCCTTCCCAAGAAGCGGTGTTGAGGGGTGGAGAAAACGGTTAGGACAGATGAGAGGTTTAGCTTGTTTTGTGTTTTGCTTTTTCATCTTAGGACCGTTGAGAAGACATCATGATATAAAAAATGTTAGTGGCCGGGCGCAGTGGCTCACGCCTGTAATCCCGATACTTTGGGAGGCCGAGGCGGGCGGATCACGAGGTCAAGAGATCGAGACCATCCTGGCCAACATGGTGAAACCCCATCTCTAATAAAAATACGAAAATTAGCCGGGCGTGGTGGCGGGCGCCTGCAGTTCCAGCTACTCGGGAGGCTGAGGCAGGAGAATCGCTTGAACCCGGAAGGCGGAGGTTGCAGTGAGCCGAGATCGCGCCACTGAACTCCAGCCTGGCAGCAGAGCTAGACTCCGTCTCAAAACAAAAAAAAAATTGTTGTTAATAGTATATAGTAAAAAAATTCTCCCCGCCTCGTAAAGCTGAGCATTGAAAAATAGCCATAAGGTATTGGAGCTTTCCTCCCCGCAGTGTAAGGACTAAAAGTGGTTGTGGTTTTTCCATTGTTGTCACTTAATAAACATAAATTACATAATAATGTAAAGAAAAATTTTGTCTTATATCTCACAGGGGCTTCGAAACATAAGCTGCATTACAGAAAGGAAGTAGAAATTACCACCACACTTCAGGAATTGTTACTCTACTTTATTTTTTTAATAAACCTATGTATATGTAAGTACACAGATATAAAGGTGTTGTTTGTTTGAACTAAGAAGTTAAAATGTGGAGATGAAAAATAAAACATAGACTTCGAAACCATAGGCTGTCAGGCTACTAAAACTCAAAATACAGTGACACCGTTTAAACATAATCTTAGATTGATTTAGATTCATTTCATTTAGAAATTGACTATTTCCAGTTCTTAAAAGGCAAAATTTTACATCACAAATGTAAGAAGCTTCCATAGTCAATATTGATTGAATTTTAATGATTCCTTTCATTTGGCAGTTCTGTCTTGAACATAATTCATCCCTTCGGTTGGCAACTGCGATTTGATTTTGTTTAGAGTCATATAGACACATCAGCTGAGTTTCATAAAATCAAAGTACAAATGAGGCCAAAGTTCATCTTGGTGTCTGCCATTAGCATGGTTCTTTTCACTCACCTATTGCAGTTAAAAAAATACGTTTGTGCTGAGTCAATGCAAATAATTAAGGAGGACTGGGAAAGCATCTCAACCTGCATTCCTCCTGCCTGTGGGTCAATAGCATCGGCTTAATATGCAAAGAGGAGTATTAAAGAGCATTTGTCTTTATGGCACCCAACATACAGTAGATGAAAGCTCACTGGCAGCATTTATCTCATGTTGGTACCTGCTACACACTGGCAATTGTATAGCAATTAAATAATTAATTGGTGTTGTAGAGGTGAGTTTGAGTCTGCTCTTGATTGAAAAGACAACTATAAAATTAGCCAGGTGTGGTGGCACACCCCCGTAGTCCTAGCTACTGGGAAGGCTGAGGTGGAAGATTCCTTGAGCACAGGAGGTCAAGGCTGCAGTGAACTGTGATTGCAACGACTGCACTTCAACCTGCGTGACAGGCTGAGACCCTGTCCCAAGAAAAAAAAAAAAAAGATAACTGTAGGCAACTTTATAAATTAAGGTATCTTAGACGGCTTTATAAAAGCTTAGTTATGAAAACTACATGCTTACTACAGAATATTTGGAAAATATAAAAATATAAGTAAAAAGATCATTTATAATCTCATTATTCAGAGATTTTAAAGAACACTTTTTTAATATAATAAAGCAACCTGAATCTCCATTTATAATGTGATTTTTTTTCTTTTTTTTTTCTTTTTTTTTTTTGAGACAGTCTTGCTCTGTCACCCAGGCTGGAGTACAGTGGCTCACTGCAACCTCCACCTCCTGAGTTCAAGCGATTCTCCTGCCTCAGCCTCCAGAGTAGCTGGGATTACAGGCCTGCACCACCACACCCGGCTAATTTTGTACTTTTTTAGTAAAAATGGGGGTTTCACCATGTTGGTCAGCTGGTCTCCAACTCCTGATCTCAGGTGATCCACCCACCTCAGCCTCCCAAAGTGCTGGGATTACAGGTGTGACACCACGCCCCGCCACTAGTTAATATTTTTAAAAACTCATCGTGTGCCAAAACACAGTTTAAAATGTTCTATGTGCATCATCTCACTTCTCACAACAAAACTAGGAGGTAAGAGATACTATCCCTGTGATGGGACTCACACCCTTATCTGTCTGAATTCAAAGTCCGTATAATCTTAATCACTCACAGTACTATACTGCCTTACTCTCATGTAGAGAAAAAGTCAACTTGCAGAATAGTGTGTATAATGTGTCTTCATTTTTGTAAAGATAAAATTATTTTCTTTATAAGTGTGTATGCATAAAGAAATATCTGAAGAATATTTGCCAAACTAATTCTAGAAACTACATCCTACTTTTTATATTTTTAGTTTAGATTTTTTAATTATTACTTTTATAATTAGATAAAATAATAAAGTTTAATTTTCAAAATTAGGAACAAAATATAACATGTTTAATCCTGATAAGCTGAGTTTTTAAATGTAAATTATTAAACAAAAAATTCTTCTCCTTAGTGACTTTTGGGATGGTAAACCCACATATGTATTACTTAAACAAGGTTATGTCATCTCTATTTTTGGACACTTCTGTGCCTGGTGAAGAAAGAACCAACTTTAAGTCTATTCGCAGCATAACTGATTTTTGGAAGGTAAAGTATCTTGTGACTGTGGATGAAGTAGATTTAGGTAGTCCATGAACCCTTGGCATACATAGTGGGCACTCAATGAATATCTCTTGAAGGAACAAAAAAAATAAATGTCATTTCTTTAAACTATTAGAAACAACCAGCCAGTAAGTGTTTATTGAGAGCCTGTGTTCTCAGTTTGATACTATTCTTGTAATTTTTTAAAAATTGATTTTTTTTGGCCGGGCACGGGGCTCGCCGCCTGTAATCCCAGCATTTTGGGAGGCCAAGGTGGGTGGATCACCTGAGGTCCGGAGTTCGAGACCAGCCTGACCAACATAGTGAAACCTCGTATCTACTAAAAAATACAAACATTAGCCGGGCATGGTGACAGCCACCTGTAATCCTGGGAGTTGGAGGTTGTAGTGAGCCAAGATCATGCCATTGCGCTCCAGCCTGGGCAACAGAGCAAGGCTCCATCTCAAAAAAAAAAAATTGATTTTTTTAAACGTTCTCATTTCATTTGTTAAATAGAAGACTTGCATCTTATGTGAGGGTTAGGATCTAGTCTATAATTGTGTATAGTGAAATTTACTTTGAAAAAGTTCTTTAATTGCCCAGAAAGTGTAATATATGTGGTTTTGGCATACAAGCCTTTACTGTGTATATGTGTTATGGTAAGGTACAGTATATAATAAAACGTACATATAAGAATATAATTTCATGGTGTTTTTACTTATGTAAGGGAATCATTCCTTCAGCAGTGGAATAGACTTGCTTTTTCCATTACGTTTAACATAGCAACATGCTCACATTATGAGGAAAGAACAGTTAAGGGGACAGCAGTTTCAGCTCTCCCAGGTCACAAAACCTGGCATATGCACATGGGGGCATATAAGGACAAGGCAGGGAAGGCTTCCAGTGGTGATGACAATTTAGTTGCATTTTGAAGCATGAATCAGGGATGGGTATTTTAGGAAGAAGGAACAATATGTTCTGTAAGTAATTCTACATGTGGAGCTATGTTTGGTATTGTGAGCATATGGAAGATGAGGTAGAAAAGGCCAAAGTATGAATTGGACAGAGGTCATATCATGAATGCTGTGCAGGAATTTGAAACTTACCAAGGAGACAGGGTCATTTCCTGAAAGAGGGCAAGTGTGAGATGAGGGCTAAATGATCCTAGATGGTTGGTTTAGGCTAGGTGAAATAGGAAACAATAATAAAAGAAGTGGAGGTCACACTGCCACTTTGTTACTGTGTTTTCTGAAGCATGTATGTGGACAATGACAGAGAAGACAAAGGGAGGAAGTAAATGAACCCTGGGCTTGGGATCTCTTAGAACGATCAGCAAAGGGCAAAGCCAGGAGTAGCAGGCACCATGGCCAGAGCTGGGGAGGAGGGTTAGGAGGAGGGGTACAGACAACTTTGGAGTGAAGTCATGATGTGTGGCTATGACCAGCTCTGATACTCATGTATTGGAAGAAAATTTTAATTTACTCGTATAAGGAGAGAAGAAGGGCTACGGGATTCAATGAGTTAATGCTTATAAAGTGCTTAGAGCAGTGCCTAGTACACAGTACATGCTTAATGAGCGTTAACCATCCGCAGTAGCTTCATTAGCATTACCATTACCATTAATGGTAGCTTGATCAATAGTTTGATTTTCATACTCAAAATCTCTTATGCATAATGGTATGAATGTAGATTCTATAGACATGAAAATATTTTTCCCATGACATTTGTTTTTCTATATGAAGTTTATGGAAGGACCCCTTTTGGAAGGTCTGTACTGGGATTCATGGTACAATAACCAGCAGCTGTATAATTTAAAGAACAGCAGTCGCATCTACTATGAGAATATACTTCTAGGAGTCCCCAGAGTTCGTCAACTAAAAGTCCGCAACAACACATGCAAAGTCTATTCATCTTTTCAGTCTTTGATGAGTGAATGTTATGGCAAATATACTTCTGCAAATGAAGACCTCTCTAATTTTGGCCTTCAAATTAATACTGAGTAAGTAGCATAAAATTATACTTTTTCTAGCATTTACCATTGTATCTTTTAGATGTGTGTCTTCCAAGTAACACCAGCTGGGTCCTGGAAGGGTAAGGAGACTGTTTCAACAGTAGTAAAAAAGGAAGATTTGGAGATAGCAGTGTTTAGAAAAGGAAAGGTGAACCTATTATTTTTTGTTTACTTTAGGATGCAAAGTGTTTCTTTTTTCTGACTTTGGTATATGAAGTGCTTAGTCATATTGGACACAGGGCAAAGCATCAATTTTTGCTTCTAAAATGTTCAATTAATCTGCTTTTTTGGCTGTGGCTAGATGCCAACAACACATCCCCAAGACGATCTGGGATCCTTAGTGGGTGTCTTAGTTGTGCTCTGTCACTTTCCTCCTCTCTTACTCTGGCTTCCTTCACTGATTTTTTTCTGTTGCTGCTCCTACTAAAATGGGGCAGTTATGCTCTACAGGGACTGCATCTGATGATGCTTGCCAAAGATGCTATGGCCATTGTGTTTCAAAGTGACTGAGGCTAGTGCTGGTGTAGACTCATGTGTACACTTTGTATTGAAAATGTGAGGCCAGACATGGTGGCTCACACCTGTAATCACAGCACTTTGGGAAGCCGAGAAAGGAGGACTGCTTGAGGGCAGGAGTTCAAGACTAGTCTGGGCAACATACTGAGACCCAGTCTCTACAGAAAATTTAAAAATTAGCCAGGTGTGATGGGGCTTACCTGAAGTCCAAGGTACTTGGGAGGCTGATCCAGGAGGATCACTTGAGCCCAAGAGGTTGAAGCTGCAGCAAGCTATGATCACACCACTGCACTCCAGCCTGGGGGACAGAGGGAGACCTTGTCCCTAAAAAAAAAAAAAAGAAGGAAATGTGCCACTGGCACTAGCTTACCTTGACACAGAAGCTGCTGGTATCAGTGCTACGCACACTTTGTGCTTTTAGAACCTTATGAAAATCATTGGCTCACACCTGTAATCCCAGCACTTTGAGAGGCTGAGGCGGGTGGATCATTTGAGGTCAGGAGTTTGAGACCAGCCTGGCCAACATGGCGAAACCCCGTCTCTACTAAAAATAGAAAAATTAGGCACAGGTGTGGTAGCAGACACCTATAGTCCCAGCTACTCAGGAGACCAAGGCACAAGAATCACTTGAACCCAGAAGGCAAAGGTTGCGGTGAACCGAGATCACGCCACTGCGCTCTGGCCTGGGCGATAGTGTGAGACTCAGTCTCAAAAAAAAAAAAGGCCAGGTGCAGTGGCTCACGCCTGTAATCCTAGCACTTTGGAAGGCCGAGGCAGGCGGATCACCTGAGGTCAGGAGTTCAAGACCAGCCTGGCCAACATGGTGAAACCCCATCTCTACTAAAAATACAAAAATTAGCTGGACATGGTGGCACACGCCTGTAATCCCAGTTACTTGGGAGGCTGAGACAGGAAAATCGCTTGAACCCTGGAGGCAGAGGTTGCATTGAGCCAAGATCACGCCACTACACTCCAGCCTGGGCAAGAAAGAGCAAAACTCCATCCCCCCCTCAAAAAAAAAATTATAGGGAGAAGAGAATGAACATTTTTTATAATTTAATATTTATTAAAGCAATACGAATATCTACAAAGGTCTACCCTTTCCTACTCATAATTTCCACTCTCCAGAAGCAGCACTTTCAGCTCTTTTATAGTTGTTTCTTCTGGTATATACTTTTTCTTTCTAAGTTACATCCTCATACTGCTACCTTACACTTGATTTTACAGTTATGTTTTTTTTTTTTTTTCTTTAGGGGCAGGATCTCACTGTCTTGCTCAGGCTGGAGTGCAGTGGTGTAATTATAGTTCACTGCAGCTTCAAACTGCTGACTCAGGCAATCCTCCTGCCTCAGTCTGCTGAGTAGCAGCTAGGACTACAGGAATAAACCACCACACCTGACTAGTTTTTTTTATTTTTTGTAGAAACAGGGTCTTTCTACGTTACCCAGGCTGATCTCAAATTCCTGGTCTCAAGTAATCCTCCCGCCTTGCTCTTCCGAAGAGCTGGGATTACAGGTGTGAGCCGCTGCACCCAGCCTCTATTGTTTTTCTATCATGGAAGGCGATCTGTCATATAGCTCTCTTATGCTACCCCCTCTACACACACTCCTCCTGTTCCTGTTAGCATCTCAATATAGTTATATCATAATTATTGTCAATCATTAGTCAATGTTTATATTATAAATATGAATAATGATTGTATTTCCTTTCTTGAACAACTTCTCTTGAACTCCCAGGGTTAATTATTGCTGGGTTTTTTTTTTTAACTTGTTTCTTCTTTGTATGAGTTTTTAGTGTTCTTGAGGACTTGTATGATTCTTATAAATCGAATACATTCATAAGTATGATGATACATTATTATGGCCGGGCGCGGTGGCTCACGCTTGTAATCCCAGCACTTCGGGAGGCCAACGTGGGTGGATCACCTGAGGTCAGCAGTTCGAGACAAGCCTGACCAACATGGTGAAACCCTGTCTCTACTAAATACAAAAAAAAAAATTAGCCGGGCATGGTAGTGCATGCCTGTAGTCCCAGCTACTTGGGAGGCTGAGGCAGGAGAACTGCTTGAACCCAGGAGGCGGAGGATGCAGTGAGCCAAGATTGCGCCATTGCACTCCAGCCTGGGCAACAAGAGCAAAATGCTGTCTAAAAAAAAACAAAAAAGAAAAATTATTATTGTTATTTTTGAAACAGGGTCTCGCTGTGTCGCCCAAGCTGGAGTGCAGTGAAGATCATAGCTCACTGCAGCCTTAACCTCTGGGGCTCAAGCAATCCTCCCACCTCAGCCTCCCAAGTAGCTGGGACTACAGGCACATGGCACCACACCCAGATAATTTTTGTATTTTCTGCCGAAATGGGATATCACCATGTTGCCCAAGCTGGTCTCAAGCTCCTGGGCTCAAGCAATTCGCCTGCCTTGGCCTCCCAAAATGCTGGAATTACAGGTGTGTGCCACCACACCCAGCCCATTCTCTTAACTATTATAGTACTATTTACTTTCTTTCAACCCCAAATTACAAGATAAAGCAATTATTTACACATTATTAATTGGAATCCTAAGACTACTCTTTTAAGTATTTTAATATTCCAAATTCTCATAACAAGTACAAATACTTTATAAAATACCAAAATTAACACTATCAATTAGGTTTATTTTATAATCTCTATACTTTACTGGAATTGTGAATTAATACCTGTTAATCCTCAACAATGAAAAAAGAATCAATTTTGCTCGTCTAAAATGTAAAATTCACTAATTAAAAACAAAACATTGGAAGCTAGGAGAGATCTGGTGCAACAGATCTTCCTGTTACCACTTAATAGTCGTGTGTGGAAAACACTCAAAAATACAACTATGGAAGTTTCATTAAAACATAGGTATTTTTTCCTAGTGGTGTCTCTTTCCCTCCCTGCTGTAGTGTTAGTAGTAAAACAGGTTTAAGCAGTGCATCTTTGAATAACCTTTCAAATCTGTTTTGGGGGAACTGAATAGAGAGACTGAAATGAGGAATCAAAGCTTTCCATTTTTGGATATCCTGTAATTAAGTTACAAATTTAAAAAAGAAACAAAAAAAATTTTTTTTTTCTATTTTTGAGACAGAATCTTACTCTGTCACCCAGACTGGAGTGCAGTGGCGTGGTCTTGGCTCCCTGCAGCCTCCATCTCTTGGGTTCAAGAGATTCTCGTGCCTCAGCCTCCCAAATAGCTGGGATAACAGGCATGCACCACCACGCCCAGCTAATTTGTGTGTTTTTAGTAGAGATGGGGTTTCACCACGTTGGCAAGGCTGGTCTCGAACTCCTGGCCTCAAGTGATCCGCCCACCTCAGCCTCCCAAAGTGCTGGGATTACAGGCGTAAGCCACTGCACCCAGTCCAAAATTTAGTTATACACAGTTTACTTTGATTTTTATATACTTTCATTAAAAAATCTACGTAACAACATGGACATTGTAACAAAGTTTTTATTGAGCATTTATAAACAATATCTTACATTTACAAGACAGTTATGAAACACCTTTTTTACCCATTTCTGAGCCAAAACTCTTAATAGTTTTGTCCTACTCAAAGACTAAATATCTCATAACAGAAACAACATGTTAAAGAAAAAAAACAGTCGTCATTTTCTAGATTCTAAGCTCTCTGAGACAATTCTAAGCTCTGTGAGACAACAGATGGATTTTTTTGTTTTTTTAGAGAGGAGATCTCACCATGTGACCTACGCCACAGTGCAGGGACTATTCACAGGCACCATCATCGACACTGCAACCTCAAACTCCTGGCCTCAAGCAGTCCTCTCATCTCAGCCCCCTGGGTAGCTGGGACTACAGGCATATGCCACCACACCTAACAGATGGATTTTTTTTTTTTCTGAGACAGGGTCTCACTTGGTCACCCAGGCTGGAGTGCTGGAGTGCAGTTGTGCAATCATAGCTCAATGCGGCCTTGAACTCTGGGGCTCTCAGTAACGAGAACTATAGGCACGTGCTGCTATGCCCAGCAAATTTTTGAAAAATTATAGATTTTTGAAAAATTATCTCATAGCACCTAGTCCAGTGGTGTTGCCCACCATATGCATTAAAAAGTATAAACTACATTAAATCTTAATTAAATCTTAATCCTTTAGTCCTTAATGCATTGTCTTGCTTTAAAATTACTATAATACTTATGAATTTACTAATACTTTTTTTTAAAGTACTACTTTTGTTTTGTTTTTTTGTTTGTTTTTGGTTTTTTTGTTTTTGTTTTGAGACAGGGTCTGGCTCTTTTGCCTGGGCTGGAGTGCAGTGGCATGATCACAGCTCACTGCAGCTCAACCTCCCGGGCCCAAACAATCCTCCTACCTCAGCCTCCTGAGTAGGTGGGACTACAGGCACACGCCACCATGCCTGGCTAGTTTTTGTGTTTTTTGTAGCGATGGGGTTTCACCACATTGCCCAGGCTGGTCTCGAACTCCTGGGCTCAAGGGATCCGCCTACTCGGCCTCCCAAAGTGTTGGGATTACAGGCGTGAGCCACCGCACCCGGCCAAAAAACTACTACTTTTGAACCAAAGATCAATTTAAATTATGAGAATACTTCTCAGTTGGGCTTTCTCATTTCACCATTATTCTTTTTATGTCTAACAGATGGAGATATTCTACTTCTAATACCAACTCCCCTTGGCACTGGGGATTTCTTGGTGTTTACCGAAATGGAGGATATATTTTCACTTTATCAAAATCAAAATCTGAAACCAAAAACAAGTTCATTGACCTTCGACTGAACAGCTGGATCACAAGAGGGACTAGAGTTATTTTTATTGATTTTTCCTTATATAATGCTAACGTAAATCTATTTTGTATTATCAGGTGAGTGACTCAAAACTTTTTTTCATAGACAGTGGTCAGTGGCCTACAAAACTTCTTTATTAGTACAGTTGACCCTTGAACAACATGAGTTTGAACTGTACAGGTCCACTTAGATATGGATTTTTTCAGTAAATATATTGGAAAATTTTTAGACCTTTGTGACAATTTGAAAAAACTCCCAAACCAACCATGTAGCCTAGAAATACTGAAAAAAAAATTAAGAAGAAGTTAGGCATGTCGTGAATGCATGAAATACCTGTAGATACTCATCTATTTTATTGTTTACTATCACACAGTATACACAAATCTATTATAAGAAGTTAAAATTTGCCAAAACTTATGCACATAAACATGTGGCACCATTTGCAGTCAAGAAAAATGTAAACAAAAGATGCAGTACTATATCATAACTGCATAAAATTAGAGTACACACTGCACTAGTGTAAGAATTTCATAGCCATCTCCTGTTGCTATTGCAGTGAACTCTAGTGCTGTATCCATTTAAAGTGTCGTGTGATGCTCACCATCTTCACTTAAGCAGTTTGTCTCTCCAATAAATTGTGTATCTCAGTAAAAAAGTGATCTCTCATAGTTCTCATGTGTTTTTTATCATATTTAGTGCAATACCATAAACCTTTAATAACACCATGGGACCCATACAAAATGCCACTAGTGATACTGGGGGTGCTCCCACAAAGTAGAGAAATGTCATGACGTTACAAGATAAAATTGAATTACTTGATATGTATCATAAATTGACGTCTGCAGCTGCAGTTGCCCACCGTTTCAAGATAAGTGAATCCAGAGACTAAGGACCATTGCCCTGGAAGCAGGGGGAGGGAAAGGAAATTCATGAAGCCATCACTGCAGCTATGCCGGCAGGTGTGGAAACCTTGCCCTTTTTGCAAAATACCTTTTTATCTCATTGAAAGTGCAGCTTCTGTGTGAAATTCATGAAGCCCTTGCTGCAGCTATGCCAGCAGGTGTGGAAACCTTGCCCTTTTTGCAAAATACCTTTTTATCTCATTGAAAATGCAGCTTCTGTGGGAATGCAGGATTGCTATAAGAAAGGCATACCTTTAGATGCTAAATGATTTAAGAAAAGCAAAGTCGGCCAGGCGCAGTGGCTCACGCCTGTAATCCCAGCACTTTGGGAGGCCGAGGTGGGCAAATCACCTGAGGTCAGGAGTTTGAGATCAGCCTGACCAACAGGGAGAAACCCCATTTCTACTAAAAATACAAAATCAGCCGGGCGTGGTGGCACAGCCTGTAATCCCAGCTACTCAGGAGCCTGAGCCAGGAGAATCACTTGAACCTGGGAGGCGGAGGTTGTGGTGAGCCGAGATTGTGTCATTGCACTTCAGCCTGGGTAACAAGAGCAAAACTCCGTCTCAAAAAAAAAAGAAAGAAAGAAAGAAAAGAAAAGTAATCATGTGGCAACTGGTAAAAGGAAAGTGAAGGATCTAAAGTTGGAGAATTTAATGCCAGCAATGGTTGGTTTGATACTTTTAGAAAGAGGTTTCACTTTCAAAAATGTCAAGATAGCAGAAGTAGCTTTTGCCAACCAAGTGGCAGCAGACAACATAGCAGACGTCATTATGAAAATCATTGAGGAGAAAGGATATCTGCCTGAACAGGTTTTTAATGCAGACAATAGTGCCGTATTCTGGAAAAAAAAAATGCCATAAAGAACATTTATTAATAAGGAAGAGAAGCAAGCACAAGGATTTAAGGCAGGAAGAAACAGGCTAACTCTACTGTTTTGTGCAAATGAAGTCAGGTTTATCATCTGGACTACCCTTATCTATAAAACTGCTAACCCCCTAACCTTGAAGGGAAAAGATAAAACACCAGCTTCCAGTCTTTTGGTTGTACAACAAGAAGGCCTGGACAATTAGAACTCTTTTTCTAGAATGGTTCCATTGATGCTTTTTCCAGTGGTTTACTTACCCCCAAACACAACGTCTCTAATTCAGCCTCTAGATCAGGGGATCATGAGGACTTTTAAGGCTCATAACACACAGTACTCTTTAGAAAGGATTGTCGATACTACGGAAGAGAACCCCAACAGAGAGAACATCATGAAAGTGTGGAAGGATTGCATTATTGAAGATGCCATCGTTATTAAAAACTGTGAAGCTATCAAACCTGAAACAATAAATACCCGCTGGAGAAAACTGTTCAGATGTGCATGACTTCACAGGATTTATGGCAGAGTCAATCAAAGAAATCATGAAAGAGATGTAGATGCGGCAAAAAAAAAAAAAAAAAAAAAAAGTGGGAGGGTGAAGGGTTTCAGGATACTGATTTTGGAGAAATCAAGAGCTAATGGACACCACACCAGAGGAATTAACAGAAGAGTCCTTGATGGAGATGGGTGCTTCCAAATCAGTGCCAAATGATGAGAAGGAAAACATAGAAACAGAACAGAAAATAAATGGACATTAGACATCTGGAGAAGGGTTCCGATTATTCAAGACTGCTTTTGACTTCTTTTATGACATGGACCCTTCGATGATATAGGCGCAGAAACTAAAGCAAAGGGTTGAAGGACTGGTACTGTGTAGAAACATTTTTAGAAAAATGAAAAAAATGTCAGAGAAAAATTATTATGTAAAATTTGTAAAGTTTCACTGAATGCACTCCTCCACCTCTTCTGCTCTGCCACCCCTGAGACAGCAAGCCCCTCCCTTCCTCTTCCCCTCCTCCTCCTCAGCCTACTCAGTATGAAGGCCACTAGGATCAAGATCATTATGAAGACCCACTTAGTGAATAGTAAATATTCTCTTCCTTATGGTTTTTTTTTAAGTCTGAGTCTCACTCTGTCGCCCAGGCTGGAGTGTAGTGAGCTTGGCCTGGCATAAATCAATTAGCATGGTCCATGTTAGGGAGGTGACCTAAGGTAACCCAATTAGACTAACGGGAATAACTTTTTTTTTCTCTTTGGTTGGTGCTATCTCTTTACTGACATCAATGACATATAATCACAGTTGCTGCTTGTACACAATCATCTTGGGGAAGCATAAGATACTTAGCTAACACAAAGGAGGGCAAAACTGAAGCCATCTCAAAGTAATGGAGCTAGATCTGTGAACTTACCACAAATGGTGTCTGCTGTTATCTCTGAAACTGCTGCTGTGTGACAGAAATAAATTTCTTTATTGTTTAAACCAATTTAAGTTGGGGTTTTTGGTTACAACCAAAAGCCTCCTAAATGATTCAGAGGTAGAGAGCTGAGGCCCAAGTTAGGTCTTGTATCTAGCTTTTCCTAGGGAACAAACCACCTCCAAGTGTAGTGGCTTAAAATAAATATTTCTCATGTGTTTAGAGTTCAATTGATCCAGCTGGGCTTGACTGATCTCTGTTAGGCTTGCCAATATAGCTGCTATTTGGCAGGACCCACACATGTGTCTTTGAGTTGGTTCTGCTCTACATGTATCTCATCCTTCTCCTGGGTCCAAGTTAGCCCGGGCATGTCTTTTTCATGGCAATTGTAGAGGTCCCAAAGAGCAAGTTCTAATGTATAAACTCATTTCAAGTTTCTGCTTGCATCATATTTGTTAACATCCCATTGGCCAAAGAAATTCACATGGTCGAGTCCAGCATCAAGGGCTGGGGCAGTACACCCTCTCCTGGGTGACAGGCCAGGCAAAAAGATGTGAAGAACTGTAGCTATTTTTGCAATATACCACAGGCTCTAATATTTCTGGGATCCTGGCTGCTATTACTCATTGAAATTTAAATTGTTCATTCTTGAGACAAAAATGAGTAACTTAATAAAGAAGCCATTCTGAAAGGAAACCAACAGATTTTAATGATCTGATCAGAAGAGGAAGTTATCAGGACTAAATGACAGCTCTTTGAAGCTGTAGAAAGACAAGAAGTGAGACTACATGTTCTTAGACAATATAAAACATTGTATGTAATCTCCATGTTCCTAAATAAATTTTGAAATAATAAAACAATGTGGTTACTTTTTCATATTGACAGTAGAACCACATTTTTCATTTTCTTATTTTTAATTTTATTTGATTTTTGAGATGGAGTCTAGCTCTGTTGCCCAGGCTGCAGTACAGTGGCATGATCTCAGCACACTGCAACCTCTGCCTCCTGGGTTCAAGCGATTCTACTGCCTCAGCCTCCTGAGTAGCTGGGATTACAGGCGTGCACCACCACATCCAGCTAATTTTTGTATTTTTAGTAGAGACAGGGTTTTGCCATGTTGGCCAGGCTGGTTTCGAACTCCTGACCTCAGGTGATCCACCCGCCTCGGCCTCCCAAAGTGCTGGGATTACAGACGTGAGCCACCGTGCCCAGCCTACATTATTTTTATTTTAAACCTTGGGATTTTAATCTCAGCACAAGCATGAACAAAACCCTAATAAGGGTTTATACCTCCTTCATTTGTGGGTTCAGATGTGAGGGCTTCGGATGTTTTTTAAATTCAATGTATAGTTGATCTTCGAACAATATGGGAGTCAGAATCAAGCACTAGAAAAGGATTTGCTCTAGAATCAAACACTTAGTAAAGGATTACCATGACTGGATCTGCCTGGGGATTTAATCAGCTTCCCCTAAGTGATCTGGGATGGGTGGAAGACTGAATACAATTAAGATTCTGTTAGAAAAAATGGGATAATGACTGCTAGAGAGGCAAACAACAGTATCTACTATACACCATGTAATACTATGCAATAAAAAGAATGAGATCATATCCTTTGCAGGGAAATGGATGGAGCTGGAGGCCATCATCCTTAGCAAACCCACACAGGAACAGAAAACCAAAAGCTACATGTTCTCATAAGTGGGAACTCAATAATGAGAACACATGGACAGAAAAGGGGGAACAACAGACACTGGGGCCTGCTTGATGGAGGAGGGTGGGAAGGAGGAAGTCCTGTCAGGAAGTATGCCTAGTACCCAGGTGAAAAAACAATCTGCACACCAAACCCCCAAGTCACAAGTTTACCTGTTTAACAAACCTGCACGCGCACCCCTGAACCTAAAATAAAAGTTAAAAAAATTTAATATCAGTGAGCCACTTTTATCTCCTAAGTCTTAACATTTTTTCCTGAATGGACTATGGAATTGGAGTTTAGGAGATTTTGCTCCCCGTGCAACAGGGAGAGTGAAACACACCATGGCCTTTAAAATATGTAAAAATGAATAAAACAAATGAACTGCCTGAAGCAGCCAATGGATGTTATACCTTTTATTTTAAAGTTCTTTTCTCTCAGAGAATCGGAGCTTTTTACCAACTTCATTCACCCTTTCCAACAGTCCTGATCAGGATAAAGTGAAGAATACAAATTATTTTTATGTCCTAAACAAGAATGGAAGCATTGAGGTAACTGGCTTTAAGACATATGAAGAAGCCCTTGTAATATCAGATTAAGTCCAGATTTCCTCTCTGAAAGTTTTGCACTTACTCTGTTACCTTTTAAAACGTTATTTTTTAGAAACTTCAGCAGACTTTGAAACTGTTAACTGGAGTATCTAGTCAGTAGTTGTGTAGATGCATATTACTTATACCTTATCTGTTTATTTTCGTTTTTGTACAATTATCAGGCAAATTAAACAGAATATTATTGTTCCTTTTTGATTAGTCTGCACTTCAGATCATAATATTGAGTTTAGTTCACTTCACTCACTACCTAGTATGTGTAAGATGTAAGTTTTATTTGTTAACTGAGGTTTTGTTTTTGTTGTTTTGGGAGCACCTTATAAGAGTACCAATGACATTTGCTAAAATCTTTAGTAGGAATAATTAAATTATAATATTGTGATAGAAATGCTGGTTCCCTAAATTACCACCAATTCTTAATTATCAGAAGTTGTGGCGAACACCAGAGAACCTCAAAATCTTTTTATATGTAGTGTTGGATTTAATTTTTATACTTCTGTCTGCATATAGATGATTTTTGTATCCAGCATCCAACAGAAAACATTGCTTTAGTAGAATATGTGACCTTGACATTTAGAAGCAAGCATTTCTGATAATCTAAAGAGGGAGAGTGTATGTCCTCCCTCTGAAGTATTCAAAAATTATGTATATTGGGGAAAAGTTCTAACTAATAACAGTAACTAATGGTATAGCATTTTCTTGAACATATCATTCTCCTATGGACATAAATTATATTCCCAGTTATGAACAAGCAAGCTGAACACAAAATAGAATGAATGTCTGAAAAAAAAAATCACAACTTGCTTTCTCATTTACATTGGTCTTTGACCACTGTGAATATTCAGGTATAGAAAAAGTGGAGCCACTATGAAATAAGTAAATCTAGAAGATGTTTAAATTGAACCCATTTCCCCAAGGAAACATACTTTATAAAAAAAAAAAACTGATTATCATTAAAGCATACATAATCATTGATTGAAAATTTCACATTACGTACTGAAATATAAATGCTTGAAATGAACATTTGCTTTCGCAAACCTGATTTTACAGATTGGTGGCAGAATTCCCTGCAACTGGAGGAATACTTACTTCATGGCAGTTTTACTCTGTGAAGCTCCTCAGATATGTTAGCTACTATGATTATTTTATTGCTTCCTGTGAAATCACATTTTGTATTTTTCTTTTTGTCTTCACAACACAAGAAGTCAAAAAAATAAAAGAATTTAAGTCTGCCTATTTCAAAAGTATTTGGAACTGGCTAGAATTGCTACTTTTGCTGGTGAGTATATATTCATGCGCATGGTTGAAGGGGATCACATCTGAACCTACCAATGAAGGAGGTGTAAAAAGACAGAATCTTCTATTCCATCCAGGACTTATTTTGAAAATTACAAATATCAAACATAAAATGCACTAGGAATAGTACTATTAATGGTGTGCCTCCAAAAGGGGGAGATCTATTTTCTTCTGATTTGGTCCTTGGGAGGGTCAGCGTAAACCTACAGGGAAAGGTGATTCCAGAAATATTACGCTTTAATGTGCACAGTAGGTCTCCCTACCCCCACTCAAAAAATGTATTACTTTCAGGGCCTTGAGTTTCACCAGTCATGGGTCTTTGGGGGCAAGGCTGTTTAATCTGTGTTGCCAAATCTGGTTTTTTCCTCATAATAAATTTTGAAAACATAGACAAAAGACAAGGCTAGGCAGAATACTGACAGGGGTGAGCAGCCAGAGGGGACCTTGTGGGTCCAGAGGGCACCAGGTTTGGAGAAATAGTCCCTGAAAGAAACACCAAAGACCATCAGTTCTAGTCAATTAAATGTACTGAAATAAACAGAGATTTAGGCAGGCCGAGACAAATGTAAAGGGCTTGGTCTCATGAACAAAGAACCAATGTTTCTAGCTTATACAATTTGATCTTTCACCCTTATTGGCCCTTAATTATAGCCAATCAAGTATTTAAGCCTTGTTTCCCAAAACCAGATTGAAAGTTTCTGAGAGTCAGAAAGTATGCCACCTACCTCTCTGGTAACTCCACTAATATCTTACAAAGGACATAACATTAAATGTTTATCTGAGCATTTCAGGCAAGAATAGTCAAAGGAAAATGTTCATGTCAGTTATAAAGCTCTGATAGCTAAAACAGCCTGGTTCTGAAATCCTCTTTTAAAGGGTTGTTAAAAGGTTCCAGAAGGTTTTATTTTTTGTAATTATAAATTGTTTTCTTGTAGTATTGCACAGTAGAAAATGTTTAGCTTTTAAGTATTATGTAGAGCAGAAATCCTTATGGCCTCAGAGTTACATAATCATTGTATACATTTGTGCTTTATGACTCAAAGAAATAAAGATTTAGATAGGTTAGGATGGCCAAGCAATTAATAGTTTTCAACTTTATAATAATTAGTGCTACCTTAAACTTGCATAAGTTGAGGGTTATTTCCATTTATGTAAAAGCATATGTCGTATCTTTCCTTCCCTTTTTGTTAAACTTTTGGTGAACTTTTTTTGTGTTTCCTCATAGGCTGTAAGATATTTAGAGGTAGAGATATTCTCTAACTTAACCCTTCTTATTTTCCCATTTAGTTGTGTTTTGTGGCTGTTTCCTTCAACACATACTGTAATGTACAAATTTTTCTCTTACTTGGAGAGCTGTTGGAAAGTACTGAACAATATTCAGATTTCTATTTTCTTGCATGCTGGCACATTTATTACAATAATATAATTGCTATTACCATCTTTTTTGCATGGATAAAGGTATTTATATTTTATTATATTAAATAATACAAACAGTGTAATAGCATAATGAAAAATTAAACTAAAAAGTCACAGGGAAAAATATTTTTTCAACTATTAAGTAATTTTAAAAGTAGTTTGGGCCAGGCACAGTGGCTCACACTGTACTCCTAGCACTTTGGAAGGCCAAGGCGGGTAGATTCTTGGCCCCAGGAGTTCGAGACCAGCCTGGGAAATCCAAAGATACCAAAAAATATTAACTGGGTGTGGTGGTGCACACCTGTAGTCCCAGCTACTCTGGAGGCTGAGGTGAAAGGATCCCTTGAGCCCTCGAGGTGGAGGTTACAGAGAGCTGTAATCCCCCACTACACTGCAGCCTGGATGACAGAAAAAAAAAAGTTGGCCAGACGTGGTGGCCCACGCCTGTAATCCCAGGACTTTGGGAGGCCGAGGTGGGTGGATCACCTGAGCTCAGGAGATTGAGACCAGCATGGCCAACATGGTGAAATCCTCTCTACTAAAAATATAAAAAATATTAGCCGGGTGTGGTGGCACATGCCTGTAATCCCAGCTACTAGGGAGGCTGAGGCAGGAGAATCGCTTGAACCTAGGGGACGGAGGTTGCAGTGAACCGAGATCTCGCCACAGCACTCCAGCCTGGGTGACAGAGTGAGACTCCATCTCAAGAAAACAAAAAAAACCCCAGAAGTTTGGCCTTGTAATGATTGCTGGCAAATCCTCAAACACCCGTGATTATCATTAAATATCTCCTTTAATTCGAAGCAGAATTCTTCTGAAATTAATTTATTCTAAGTAATTTCATCTTTGATATTCTCCTATTTCAATTAACTTTGTTCTTTTTCAGATATTCAAATTCATAAGCTTTAACAAGACAATGTCTCAGCTGTCATCAACCTTGTCCCGTTGTATTAAAGACATAGTAGGATTTGCCATCATGTTTTTTATAATATTCTTTGCTTACGCCCAGTTAGGATTTCTTATTTTTGGATCACAAGTTGATGACTTTTCCACTTTTCAGAATTCCATGTAAGCTCTTAGTATAAATGTAATTATATCTTCTATATTTTCTTACCAAAAAATGGAAAGGTCTAACCTTCTATGATAAGTAGTAATATAAGCTTTAATATATTTAAGGTTAGTTTGATTTTTTTTTTTTTTTTAGCTCACTGCAGCCTCAAACTTCTGGACTCAAGCTATCCTCAGCCTCCGAAGTAGCTAGGACTACAGGTGTGCACCACCACACCTGATTGATTACATTTTTATTATTTTTTGTAGAGAGGGAGTCTCACCATGTTGCTCAGGGTGGTTTTAAACTTCTGGGTTCAAGTGAACCTCCTGCCTTGGCCTCCCAAAATGCTGGGATTACAGGCATGAGCCACCAGCCTGGCTGATATTTTCATTGATGGCTAAATATCTATCACATTCAAATTAGGGTTTGGCATTGAAGGAGCCAAATGGGTGATGGTGTCCATTTTTAAGGTGTTACTAGGTCAAGTTAGAAAACTAATTTTTCATTTTTCATTGGAAGTGATAATTTTACCTAAAATAATGGAAATTGTCCCCCATGTCTCTATAGTATTTATTCTCTTGGTATTTTGTTTTTTGGACAGGGTCTCCACTCTGTCACCTAGGCTGGCATACAATGGCGTTATCACTGCTCATTGCATCCTGAAACTCCTGGGCTCAAGCAATCCTCCCACCTCAGCCTCCTGAGTAGCTGGGTGTGCCACCACATCCAGCCAATTTTTGTATTTTGGAGAGACAAGGTTTAGCCATGTTGCCCAGGCTGGTCTTGAACTCCTGAGTTCAAGCAATCCTCTTGCCTCGGCATCTCAAAAGCACTGGGATTACAGATGTGAGCCACCACACCCAGCCAAAAGAAATCTTAAGTGTTTTCTTTAGAGGGCTCCATCTTAATATTTTTATTGATATTGACCTGATCGTCCTTTGCTAATCTGCCAAACATGTATTTTTAAAATAGCTTGAGGCTGGGCCCCATGGCACCTATAATCCCAGCATTAGGGAGGCCAAGATGGGAGAATCACTGAGGCCAGGAGTTCAAGACCAACCTGGGCAACACAGCAAGACTCCGTTTCTACAAAAAATAAAAAACAACTAGCTGGATGTGGTGGCATATGCTTGTATTCCTACCTACTCAGGAGGCTGAGGCAGGAGGATCACTTGAGCCTGGGAGTTTGAGGTCACAGTGAGCTATGATTGTGCCACTGCACTCCAGCATGGGCAACAGAGGGAGATCCCATCTCTAAAATAATAAAAATAATAATAAAACTTGGTAATAATTGGCATTTAATACAGATGTAATAATTTACAGAGCCTAGGAAATTTGTCTTACTGTGGGTAGTGAAGAGGAAAGGAAAGTATAAAGCACAGAACAGGTAGAGAACTTTGGAATGGGTTAATGAGAGGACGTCTGTTTTTGGTAATGATGTGTTAGGCTATTCGGATCAATCTCCTCTTGAGGACAATTTTAAAGCTGGATGACATAAAAAACAATGAGAAATTAATAAGAAAGTGAGTAATAACTGGGTCAAAGTCAGAAGGCCACAACCCAGAGAAGTAAGCCCAGCACCCAAAGCTATTTGCCCTGAAGGCATTTTTAAGCTCTTTTTTCAAAAATTTTATGGTGATAAAATATATATAACATAAAATTTACCATTTAAACCACTTCTAAGTGTACAGTTCAGTGATATTAAGCACATTCATATTGTGCAACCATCACCCCCATCTATCTCCAAATCTCTTCATCTTGGAAAACAAAAACTCTATACCAATTAAAACAATAACTCCCTATTTTCCCCTTCCCTGGCCCCTGTCAGCCACCATTCTACTTTTTGTTGCTATGATTTTGATTACTCTAGGTACAACATATAAGTGGAATCATATATTATTTGTCTTTTTGTGACTGGATTACTTCATTAGCATAAATGCCCTTAAGTTTCATCCATGTTGTAGCATGTAGTCAGAATTTCCTTCCTTAAAAAGGCTGAATAATATTCTATTATATGTATATTCCACATTTTGCCTATTCATTCATCTGTCAATACACATTTGGGTTGGTTCCACATTTTAGCTATTGTGAATAACAGTGCTGTGAACATGGATGTATAAATATCCATTCAGTTGGATGGATATTTCAGTTCCTTTGGTTATATACCCAGAAGTAGAATTGCTGGATCACATGATCTATTTCCCCCTCCAGACTTATTAAGGTATAATTAAAATTATATATATTTATGCTATAGGTGTGATGTTTTGAAATATGTACACATTGTGAAATGATTAAATCAGGCTATGTTTAACATATCCATCACCTCTCATATTTATCATTTTTTGTGGTAAGAACATTTAAGATCTACTTTCTTAGCAATTTTCAAGTATACATTATTAACTATAGTCACCATGCTATACAGTAGATCTCCAGAACTTATTATTCTGTCTAACTGAAATGTTACACCCATTGACATACATCTCTTAATTTCCCTTGAACTCCACCTCTCCAACCCCTGGCAATTGCCGTTCTGCCCTTCGCTTCTATGACTTCAATTTTTTCAGACTCCACATATAAGTGAGATCATGCAGTATTTGTCCTTCTGTGCCTTGCTTATTTCACTTAAAATGATGGTCCTCCAATTTCATCCTTGTCACAAATGACAGTATTTCCTCCTTTTCAAAGATTGAATAGTGTTCCATTGTTTATATATGCCATATTTTCTTTATCCATTTAACCATTAATAGACACGTAGGTTGATTCCCTATCTCGGCTAAACAATGCTGCAGTGAACATGGGAGGGCAGATATTTCTTTCACATACTGATTTTATTTCCTGTAGATACATATACCAAGAAGTGGATTGCTGGACCATATGTTAGTCCTATTTTTAATTTTCTGAGGAACATCAATACTGTTTGGCGTAGTGGCTGTACCATTTTACATTCCCACCAACAGTGTATGAAGTTTTCTTTTTGTCTCCATCCTCGATAACACTTGTTATCTTTTTGATAAGAGCCATTCTAACAGATGTGAGGTGATAGCTCATTTTGTTTTGTTTTTTTGAGATGGAGTCTTGCTCTGTTGCCCAGGCTGGAGTGCAGTGGCGAGGTGATAGCTCATTTTGTTTCGTTTTTTTTGAGATGGAGTCTTGCTCTGTTGCCCAGGCCGGAATGCAGTGGCATGATCTCGGTTCACTGTAACCTCCTCTTCCTGGGTTCAAGTGATTCTCTCACCTCAGCCTCCCGAGTAGGTGGCATTACAGGCATGCACCACCACGCCTGGCTACTTTTTGTATTTTTAGTGGAGATGGGGTTTCACCATGTTAGCTAGGTTGGTCTCGAACTCCTGACCTCAAGTGATCCACCTGCCTCAGTCTCCCAAAGTGCTGGGATTACAGGTGTGAGCCACTGTGCCTGGCCTAATTTGCATTTTCCTGATTAGTGATGTTGACCATTTTTTCATATATCTGTTGACCATTTGTGTGTCTTATTTTGAGAAATGTCTATTGAGGTCCTTTGTCCATTTTTAAATTGGATTATTTTCTTTCTTTCTTTTCTTTTTTTTTTTTTTTTTTGAGATGGAGTTTGTTCTTGTTGCCCAGGCTGGAGCACAGTGGTATGATCTCAGCTCACTGTAACCTCTGCCTCCCAGGTTCAAGTGATTCTTCTGGCTCAGCCTCCCGAGTAGCTGGGATTACAGGCATGCACCTCCATGCCTGGCTAGTTTTGTATTTTCAGTAGAGACAGGGTTTCTCCATGTTGGTCAGGCTGGTCTCGAACTCCTGGCCTTCATTTTTGTGTTTTTTTAGTGGAGACAGGGTTTCACCATGTTGGCCAGGCTGGTCTGGAACTCCTGCCCTCAGGTGATCCACCTGTCTTGGCCTCCCAAAGTGCTGGGATTACAAGCGTTAGCCACCTAGCCCTGTTTACTTTTCTTCTTTTTTCTGTTTCTCAGACTCAATAATGTAAATTATCCTATCTTCAAGTTCATTGATTCTTTTTTCTGCCTGCTCAAATCTTCCTTTGAATCCCTTTAGTAAATTTCTCATTTTGGTTATTATTTTTCCATCTTGGAATTGTTTCTTTTTAGGTTTTCACTTTATTGATATTTCCATTTTGTTTACATTTTCTTGATTTCATCCATGCTTTCCTTTAGTTCTTTCAGCATCTTTAAGACAGTTATTTTAAAGTATTTGTCTAGTAGGCCGTCATCTGGTCTTTCTCAGAGACAGTATCTACTAGCTTGCGTTTTTTTTGGTTTTGGTTTTGGTTTTTCCACTGAATGGCTCATATTTCCCTGTTTGTGTATCTAGTGATTTTTTGGTGAATTTTTAGATTCAAACTTTGTATGTCTTGTGATTTTGTGATTTTTAAAAAATTCAAACCAAGCTGGGTGTGGTGGCTCACATTTTGGAGCCATTGCACTTTGGGAACCTCCTAGCACTTTGGGAGGCCAAGGCAAGTGGATCACTTGGGCCCAGCAGTTTGAGACCAGCCTGGGAAACTAAGGGAGACTATGTCTGTACAAAAAATAAAAAATAATAAAAATTCAAACCAGACATTTGAATCTAATAATGTTACTTCGAAAATCAGATTCTTCCCCTTCCCCACAGTTTGCCATTTTTTGTTCTTATTTTTTATTTTTATAGTCTGGCTCCATGCCAAGGATCACCCTGAGTTGCACACTTAAGGTCTTCTCAGGTTTTTCCTCAGCCTATGCCCTTCCCTGGGAATGCACAATGACTTCCTAACTTTCCCCTGATATGGAGTTGGTTCTGAATGTCCTAGTCTTTAATGTCTGGATCCCAAAAAAGGAAAAGAGAAGAATAAAGTGAGAGGTAGGGGAAGGATAACAGCCCTTTAAATCCCAAGGACATTGCTTCAGCTGAAGGATGGTCTTGCAACAATGGAGATGCAACAATGGCTGCCCACCTCAGTGCCTGCATCTCCACGATCAGAAGCAGCAATCAGCAGTCACCACACAGATCCCCAATTATTGAAAGACATGGTATTTATTCCCCACATGGCTCCCATAAGCTACATGCGAGCTGCTTCACAAACATGTGAATGGATCCCATCTATGAGGCTAATGAGTAGGGGATGCATAGCTATTGAGATAAAAGCTGAAATTGTCCAAAATTAACTGCAATTTACTGTCCAAGCTTTTCCCTGGAAGTTGCAGGCCTTCTTCAACAGACTCTAGAGTTCCAAAGTAGTACATCTGACAGATTCTGTCCATGTAATTATTGTCTAGATGGGGACAGGGGAGAAATAGTTTCCTGTGGTTCTCTTCCACCTTCCAAGAATCTTTTTTTTTTTTTTTTTTTTTTTTTTTTTGCTGATCCAGAAGAAATAGTTGAGAAACTGTGTTACTGGCCACCTCTCAGGAAGGAGACAGAGGCAAGGTCCAGCGCCTGCACAGTGTGTGTGTGTGTGTGTGTGTGTGTGTGTGTGTGTGTAGGGAGAAGACTATCTAGTCACCTTTCTATACATCAAAAAGGGAGCTTGAATTGCTACACCCTCAAGTTAAAGATGAATTTCTTGTAGTGACCCAATCAATGACTCCAAGAGAGAGACTGGAAAGTCTTATTAATGACAAATGGCACGTTATTATGAAACAGGCTTTTAGTTATGGTAATTCAATAAGGAAGAACTCTATCTAAAGTTTGCGGGGCATCAGAAAGTTACAAAACAGTAAGATCATGGCAGAAACACTAAAACAGAACCTTTTATTCTCCTATGCCAGAAAAAATATTTGATTTGTGGTGAGACTTAGTTTCCTTCCAATTCAGTATTTTCTCTATCTTATGGAGGAAAGCATTACAAACCAGTATTAAAAGCAAGATAAATACTTTAGGTATGATTTGGTCAGGTCTTAGCTAGGTGCCAAGGATGGAATCTCAGATAACTCTGAGTCCTAGGACTTCATGTAGCCCATTTCTTTGAATGCTTTTTCTTCCTTCATTAAAGCTCTTTGCTCCTTTTATGTGACTGGCAAAAGCAATAAGGGACAAGCAGCCTTTCTTCCTTTTCACTGACCAATTACGCAGAGTTATCAACATAGGATTAAAAATTTCTTTCCACACGCCTGTAATCCCAGCACTTTGAGAGCCCAAGGCGGGTGGATCACCTAAGGTCAGGAATTTGAGACCAACCTGGCCAACGTGGTGAAACCCCATCTCTACTAAAAATACAAAAATTAGCCAGGCATGGTGACACATGCCTGTCATCCCAGCTACTCATGAGGCTGATGAGGCAGAAGAATCACTCGAACCGGAGAGATGGAGGTTGCAGTGAGCCAAGATCCCACCACTGCACTCCAACCTGGGTGACAAGAGCGAAACACCGTCTCAAAAAAAAAAAAATTCTTTCCAAATTTCCTCATAGAATAAAGAACACACACACATAATTTAAACTGATATTCCTGATATGTCTAGTGAGACCACTGGAAGTTAATAATGAGAAAATAAGATTTTCAAGTTAGAAAATTCTAATTCTACTTGTTACTACTGTGCTACGCAAAGTCTTAATTTCTTCATTTTCCATCTTTAAAATTAGAAAAAGGAAGGTTTGAAATACTTTAAGTGGTATTTCTTATCAAACCAGGCTATCAAAGAGGGTAAAATAAACCTTAGGATCATGTTGAGTATTATTATCAGCACTTGTTTGAGACTAGCAAGTGACATATTGTTGGCATCCCTATTTTATCAGAATTTAAGAGTTGGTTAAGACAAAAATTCACTTCACTGACATTAGAAAGTTTAGGGCTCTTGGGTCTAAACCTTCTACAAGTTGAAAAATCACTTGAACAAATTCAAAGTTCTAATGTTTAGAAGGGCACAGGCATAGCCGGCCAAGAAGGCCACTGCCAAAACCAGTTAGTAAACAGGTATCTCAGGTTCAAATGTTACAGGTGGGCTGGGTGCGGTGGCTCATGCCTGTAATCCCAGCACTTTGGGAGGCTGAGGTGGGCAGATCACTTAAGGCCAGGAGTTTGAGATCAGCCTGGCCAACATGGTGAGACTGTCTCTACTAAAAATACAAAAAAAGTAGCTGGGCATGGTGATGCATGCCTGTAATCCCAGCTACTTGGGAGGCTGAGGCAGGAGAATCGCCTGAACCTGGGAGACAGAAGTTGCAGTGAGCCGAGGTAGCACCACTGCACTCCAGCCTGGGTGGTAAGAGTTTGACTGTCTCAAAAAAAAAAAAGTTATAGATGAACACTGAGTTCACATTCATTAAAGCAGTCATGTCCTACATTACCTATTTGGCTATTGAGGTACTTTAAGTCTTTCTTTTAGGGGAATTTTCTACATCCAATTTTACGCAACTCTGTAGTAACATAATTAAAGTCAGAAAGCATATGCCATATGCTGCTAGATATCCTCTTAGAGACATTAGTAACTCCCATCAGTTGTCATGTATGTACATGAAGGTATATGTTTTCTAATATTTTTCTCTCTTAAAGATTTGCACAATTTCGAATTGTTCTTGGAGATTTTAATTTTGCTGGTATTCAGCAAGCCAATCCTATCTTGGGACCCATTTACTTCATCACTTTCATCTTTTTTGTGTTCTTTGTCCTGCTGGTAAGAATGATAATATATACTCCTTACATTTCTTACTTTTTAGAATAAAAAATAAAATTACTCATTTAGAATAAACTATTATTTCTGCTCAGCTGTCAGGGTACTTTACATTTATTAAGAATTGTGTGGATCCCTAGTAATCCAGGTTCACTAGTCCAGTGACTGTTTTCAAGTTGTCCAATGAAGAATGTAATCACAGTAGTTAATTTCTGGGTGTTTTAGATGGGAATGTGCTAAATCCTTCACATAAATAATCTGAATGTCCCAGGTCTCTTCAGGCTGGGACAATGCATGCCATGAGCCATGAATGTGGCCATTAATATTCTGCCCATATTGCAATGGCTTTTGGCCCTTACAGCCAAACACTTAACATGTTGTGGTTTTCAGGAGTTATCAGGATGGATCTCTCACATGCACTCAGAACAAGTCTATTTGGGCTTCCTAACCAAGGAACCTTGCCTTTCTAGTCAAGGCATTGTACTGTCCTCCATGAAAACACTTTTTGTCAGGCACAGAAGTTATCCCCTGGTGACAGACAAGACTCTTAGGGTGACAGAGCTGGGCCACAGTGAAAGGTGGGCTGTTGGGGTAAGAATATCCTTTCTACATTTGTGTTATCTGGACATTAGTAGTTGCAGGAGCTGTAGTAAGACTGTGAATTTAAACAGCTTCACAGAATTTAAAAACAACAGTAACAGCAAACACCCTTGGCTGGACACAGTGGCTCACACCTATAATCCTAGCACTTTGGGAGGCAGAGGCAAGCGGATCGCTTGAGCTCAGGAGTTCGAGACCAGCCTGGGCAACATGATGAAATGCTGTCTCTACTAAAAATACAAAAATTAGCCAGGCTTGGTGATGCACACCTATAATCCCAGCTACTTGGGTGGCTGAGGCATGAGAATCGCTTGAACCTGGGAGTGGGAGACTGCAGTGAGCTGAGATCACACAACTGCACCCCAGCCTGGGCAACAGGGTGGGACCCTGTCTCAAAAACAAACAAACAAAAAACACCCTTATGAACACATAATTACATCATTCTAAATTTTCTTCCATTATGTAATATTGCATATATATAACCAGTTCATATGCATTCTTTTACATTGTTTTCTCATTTGCAATAAACATATTTGCCCATACCCACACACCACACATTTTCTATTCTACTTATTGTCTGCATAGACATTTCCCCATTTTTGAGCATACGGGTTACTTTTAAAGCTTGATGTTTTGCTTGTTTCTTTTTTATTATTATTTATTATTATTTTTTGAGACAGAGTCTTGCTCTGTTGCCCGGGCTGGAGTGCAGTGGGTACGATCTTACTCGGCTCACTGCAACCTCCACCTCCTGGGTTCAAGAGATTCTCCTGCCTCAACCTCCTGAGTAGCTGGGACTACAGGTGCACGCCACCATGTCTGGCTAATTTTTGTATTTTTAGTAGAGACAGGGTTTTGCCATGTTGGCCAGGCTGGTCTTGAACTCCTGTCCTCAAGTGATTCATCCACCTTGGCCTCCCAAAGTGCTGGGATTACAGGCGTGAGCCACCATGCCTGGCCTACTTTTAAAATTTAAATACAATTTTACAAACCTGAAACTTGTTAAAATCACTAACATTTAAACTAAATTTTTATTGAAATAATTTTTTGAATACTTATTCCTAGAATATGTTCTTGGCAATTATTAATGATACCTACTCTGAAGTGAAAGCTGATTATTCAATAGGCAGAAGGCCGGATTTTGAACTTGGTAAAATGATTAAACAGGTAAGTCAAATTTCTTTCCTAATTAGAATTCTAAGACAAATCTCATACAGTTTATCCTCCTGCAGTTTGAATACCACTTAATCCCAAGTGGTCGTGCTCTCCCCACTCCCACCCCCAGAGTTGGTTTTGTGTTTTGATCCAGTGTTACTGATACTCACATTATTTCATTACTACAGAAATGAGATATGCTCTCTGGCTTCAAAAATGTAGCCAAAATTATTTCAGAGTGCAATATATCAAATAGTTATTGAGTGATTTCCTAAATGCAAAGCACTGTTGAGTATTATAGTAAAACCCTCTCTTCCTTCCGGAAAGTTTTTGCTCTGGAAGCTGTTAAATTTCTATCAATCTAAACTCAGAACTCCATGTGTCTTGTCTTCCTCACTTTCCTGTTTCTGTTCATGGCAACACTATCCTCTCAAGTCACTCCTGGCTCAAGAAACTTGAAAAGAATTTGTTTCCTTGTCCCTTATATAGTCTATCGTCATGGCATATATATAGTTTATCTCTGTAGTTCTTGCTTACATTTGTGGAATACTTTAAATTCTAACTGCCGCTAGACGAGGCTTTCAGTACTTTTTGTACTTACCTTCACCATGGTAACATTTCCTGACTATTGTAGCCTCTTCCCTGTGCCAGTCCAGATGTGGTTATCAGTTTCCCTAGGCCTGTCAAGTCCGAATTCCTTACCCAAACATTCCAAATCCTCAAGTCTCACAGTCCCAACCTATCTTCATTAACTATAATTTTACTATAGTTTCTACCTTTCTGCCTCTATTTACAACACTGTATGTCCCGGCTCATCTGTTCTGAGCACTGTGCTTTATACCATGCTTGTTCTCACTCTCTCCTCTGAGCCTCTGCTCAAATCATTCTCTGACCCCTGAAATATTCCTACAGCTCTTCTCTCTTGCTATCACTCTATTCTTCTTCAAAAAGTGGAATCTGTCCTGTCCTCCTCTCAATATCTACCTCAGTTTGAGCGTAGCAGAGTTATATGTGTATCAGTCACATCTCCCCTGCCAGTCTGGCCATCTCTGCATATCCCATGTTTCTAAAGCATAGCATTTCACAGAGAAGAGGTCCTAGTAGCTGTGGGGTTAGTGGGGTTTACAAACTTTGCCCAAGAACTAATCTGTAAAACAAACCAAAAAAACTGTTAAGCTATCCCCCAATTAGTTTGCTTTTCTCCCCCATCTTTTATCACTTGAATATGATGTTGGTTATATTCATTAGAAGTGTTAACATCCTTAACGCAATACATGTTAACGCTTTTTAAAGATTTTTGCTTTTTCCAAGTTCCAGAGTAATGCCCCCAACTGAAGAACCCCTTTTGTGTTTTCACCAGCAGGTGTAAACCATATGTAGCAATGAGTTCACATGAAAGAAGGATAATCATAGTATTTACCTCCACAATTCTTTAGGGTAGCAATCCAGAGGGACAAGCATTACATATTTATTTTACTTTGATAAAACATTAATAATAAAGGATATATTTTGATGAATTTTCAAACTATTTTAAATTATGCCCAGAGTTACAAAAATGTTCTCGAGAAATTTAGACTGAAGAAAGCTCGAAAAGATGAAGACAAGAAAACGTAAGATGACTTTTCTCAAATGTTTAACTTACCATTTTAAAGTTCTACATTACAGGAGAACCTTATAAGGTTGCTTTTTTGTTTTGTTTTGTTTTTAATAGAGACAGGGTTTCCCCATGTTGGTCAGACTGGTCTCAAACTCCTGACCTCAGGTGATCCACCCACCAGGGCCTCCCAAAGTGTTGGAATTACAGGCGTGAGCCACCATGCCTGGCCATGAGTAAGGTTTTAATTGCAAAACCACCAACAACCTATGTGGCGATTCTAAATATACAGTCAGTACACCCAGGAGTGCCTCCTAATTTCTGAGGACACCAGAAATTTTAGCTAATTTAAAATTAATATAATGCCGGCCATTTTACTGAGAAAAAGCTGTAAGAGAAAGCTGGAGGGGACAATAAAGTCCCTCTAAAAAGGTAGGAAACGATTTTAGTCTAAATTAAATGCATTTACTTGGCTATAAAAACATTTACACACAATACTTATGAATAATACTTACACTTACACTATATTTACACTTACATTTATTAAATGACTTTGGTGTCAAAATAATTCCCAAACCCAGAACTCTGGCAGTGGAACATAAACATTTTTTTCAGTTAATGGCATATGATACTCTGAAGAACTTGTTAATGATCACATTTTCCAAATAATTAGCATTATCTGAAATAAATATTATTCAGATCCTTACTACAGATCTGATTGTACGTTATGGTGGCATTTCCTTTTTTATTGTCATTTGCCTCTGATTTTTATTTTATGTTTTCAGTAGCAAAGGCAGCGGAGATTTGGCTGAACAAGCCAGAAGAGAAGGCTTTGACGAAAATGTAAGACTTTAATTTTTTTCATAAACACAAGTGGTAGCTGTATTAGAAATATGCTCACAAAAATGCTCTGGTTAAGAATTGAAATGATTTGCTGTTTTTCAGAACAGTTACTGTCATCTCCAAATAAATCTCCCAGATCTAGATCCTTTCACGTTTAGGACAAACCATTTGGATTTCAGATGCTTCCTCTCTCCTTACCTGTACTCTCAGCCAGATACCTAACCCTACAGGTGTACACTCACTGTGTGAATATCACACCGGGTATTCATAGTGAGTACACTTTGTGGAGATGATTTGGGTAACTTTTCTCTTGTAATCACTAATGTGATGAATTACTTTAACACTTTTATATTTCAGAAATTATAATATGTAACATATATCTGACAATAGCAGAATTTAAGGAACACCTATGTTCCTTAAATATACTATTACCACTACCACTTAAAAAAACAAAACAGTGAACCATTGCTCTATTTCTGGTCACCACCTCTCCCCCCAAATGCTCAGAAAGAAGACAGCAGGGTCAGGAGACTGTAATAAGCAAGCAAATAAATGTTGAAGTTTCTCATTTTCGGATAAAGGGATTATAAAAATGGAAAGGCTGAAGGTGAACTTTGTGGTACTGGATTGGAATCTAGATCTACTGTGTACACACACGTATTTTCTAGCTCTGTCCAATCCACTATGAGGGCTAGAAGCGACACCCTACTAGCAATGAGCACAACTAGTACCCAGATCTTGGTTTCCAAATAGCATTCTCCTCTAAAAGGAACTGGGGCTCCTTGGAGGTCTTGCTAATTCCAGGGCTGGAAAGTACAGCTGACTCTTGAACAACACAGGTTTGAACTGCACACGTCCACTTAAATGTGTAATCTTTTTACCTGGGTCAAAAATTCAGTATTTGCAGGCTAGGGAGGGTGACTTTTCCCCGTATGTGGGTTCTGCAGGGCCAACTGTGAGACTTGAGTATATGCAGATTTTGGTGTACTAGGGGGTCCTGGAACCAATCCCCCATGTATACCGAAGGACAACTATACAAGATGAGTCTGGAATAGCTTATTGAGGCATAAAGTAAAACTGCTCAAAGAATGATGGAGAATCTGTTAAAAGAATCAGTTTAAGGGGCTCAAGCTGGCCAAATTTGACAATATTTAAGCACTATGATGAATAATGGTTCATAGCCCATTGAATAAAAGGATTCCATGAATGAGACATTTACAGGCCTCTCCACCAAATACTCATTACAAAAAGAAAAGCAGTAATGTTAGGGTGGAGAAGTCTGACAGCACCTTAATCAAGTCAGTGACCACTATCAACACTGAAACAAATGGAAATTATATGCTGCCTGATAGGAGGCCATGAGAATTAGCATCCTTTCTGTGACATCCTTGTCGAAGACATATAATCTTAACCTAAATCATGACAAAATTTAAATTGAGGGACATTCTACAAAATAACTGGCCTGTTCTTCAAAGTGTCAATCATGGAGTCAAGGTAAAGCTGAGGAACTATTCCAGATTAAATGAGATTAAAATGATATGTCAAGTAAATAAAATGCATAATCCTGGACTGGATACTTTTCCTATAAAGGCATCATTGGGATAACTGATAAACTTGAAAGGGAAACACAGACATATCTATGGATTCATAGACATATCTACGAATATTAATTTTTTGATTCTGATGGTTATATTATAATTATAAAAGAGAATGTCCTTATATGGAGGAAATGCAGACTGAAGTATTCAGGGATGATGGAGCCTTCATGTTGGTGGCTTTCCAATACTTCAGAAGGAAAAAATACTTGTATTGTTCTTATAACTTTTATCTAAATTTGATATTTGTGTTTTTTTGATTTTTTTTTTTTTGAGACCACACCCAGATACTTTTTGTATTTTTAGTAGAGACCGGGTTTCACCATGTTGGCCAGGCTGGTCTCGAACTCCTTACTTCCTGCCCGGCCTAATTTTGATATTCTTTTAAAAAAATCAGGCCAGGTGTGGTGGCTCATGCCTGTAATCCCAGCACTTTGCAAGGCGGAGGTAGACCATTCCTGAAATAGAAGGTGACGTGAATTGAAAGACACACTGTGTATGGGGAAACTTTACCTAGAATGGTCAATAAGAGGCTTATCCAAGTAAAATTTGGGTTCACTTAAAGAAAATCAGGTTAGCATAACAACATTCAACACCATAAATCAACAAAAGAACACCTATAATATATTCAAGGAAAGAAAATGTAAATCAAGGAATTTTAAATTCAGCAAAGCTGTGTTTCAAATATAAAGGCTCAAACATGCCTGAAGTCAGGAAATACTATCGTCTTTCTAAGGATTCTACTAGAGGATGAGCATCAGCCAACCAAGAGATGATTGGAGAGACTGGGCGAGGTTGCTCACACCTGTAATCCCAGCACTTTGGGAGGATCACTTGAGCCCAGGAGTTTGAGACCAGCCCGGGCAACATGGTGAAACCCTGTCTCTACAAAAAGTACAAAAGTAAACTTTTTTTTTTTAAGTTAAAGAATGTCATTTAGAATAAACCAGTAAGAAACACTAGCATAAAGAAAAAGAAACATTAGCATAAGTGTACAATGGTAAATAATAAGACTTTTATTGATTTAAAAAAAATTTGTTTTGAGGCAAGGTTAGCTCTGTTGCCCAGCCTGGAGTGCAGTGGCATGATCACAGCTCACTGCAGCCTCGACCTCCCTGAGCTGAGGTGATCCTCCCACCTCAGCTTCCCAAGTAGCTGGGACTACAGGCATGTGCCATCATACCCAGCTACTTTTTGTGGTTTTTGTACAGATGAGGTTTCACCATGCTACCCAGGCTGGTCTCGAGCTTCCAGGCTCAAGTGATCCATCCACCTTGGCCTTCCAAAGTCTTGGGATTACAGCTGTGAGCCACTGGGCCCAGGCTTCTTTCTTTCTTTCTTTAAATTATATAGTGATGGCATCTCACTGTGTTGCCCAGGCTGGCCTTGAACTTCTGGCCTTGAGCGATCCTCCCGCCTTGGCCTCTGAAAGTGCTGGGATTACAGGCATGAGCAACTGTGCCCAGCCCTATTTTATTGATTTTAAAACACTTTTGTTTTTTCACATTTTAACATCTGTGAAATCAGAATGTATTTTATAGTTAATGGTCATAGTTTAATTGACATTTTTTACCTAAGTGGTACATGAAATAATGGTATGTCTTACAAAAGACATCATCTCTCATATACAATGAAAAATAACATTATTGAATATAATTGGGTAGCAGAGGAGAGGAAGATGAAGAAAAATTTACAAGTTAATTTGCTTGTTGATCACAGGAGGGAAACAAAGAAAGGGAGGACTAAGGACATATAAAAAGATACACAAAGATGGCCGGGTGCGGTGGCTTACGCCTATAATTCCAGCACTTTGGGAGGCTAAGGTGGATCACCTGAGGTCGGGAGTTCAAGACCAGCCTGACCAACATGGAGAAACCCCACCTCTACTAAAAATTAAAAATTAGCCGGGCGTGGTGGCGCATACCTGTAATACCAGCTACTCGGGAGGCTGAGGCAGGAGAATTGCTTGAACCTGGGAGGCGGAGGTTGCAGTGAGCCGAGATTGGGCCATTGCACTCCAGCTTGGGTGACAAGAGCAAAACTCCATCTCAAAAAAAAAATAAAAGATATATGAAGACAAACCAATAGAACAAAAATACACATATTTCTATAGGGCAAAATTACTAAAACAAAACAAAACAAAAACAGATCACATAGTAAAAGACTTAAAATATAAATACAAGACAGTATAACTACAACCAGATATATCTAACATAAATACATGCAAATAAACTTAATTTACTTAAAAAGAAAAATATTTTCATCCAGCAAAGCTATGCTTCAAATATAAAGGCTCAAACATGCAAGAACTCAGGGAATACTATCACCTTTCTAAGGATTCTACTACAGGACAGATGGGGTTTGAATTACAAAACAAACCCAGTTCTATGCCATATCCTAAAATATATACTTAAAGAGATTCCAAAATGTTAAATATAAAAGCATGATCAAAGACCTAAAAGGCAAACAAAAGATAACAGGGGACACAACTGAATATAAATCAAAGGATTCTAGACAAAAAGCTCCAAATGACCTAAAGTCTACATGACTGTATGAAGCTAAGATTAATTTTATCAGTTACGAATATCTATGCACCAAACAACAGAGTATCCACTTTCATAAAGATTACTGGATTTTAAAAAGGAGAAATAGGAACACACAAAAAAACAAAGAACAGATCAAGAAAAATAAATGCATTAAAAAACCCAAAACATATTAATAAATAAGATGATCTTACAGTTGTATATTAAGTTCTGTACTCTCATTCATAAAAATTGCTCATCTACTGGGCCACAAAGAAAGCCTCAACACATTCCAAAAGTTAATGCAGAAAAAAATTCTCTAAAAACAACATAATAAAAATATGTAACAAAATCAGAAAATGAAAAAATTCTTTGACTAAAAAATATCAAAACCCTCTATTAAATGACTCGAGTCAAAGAAGAAATACAGGCTGGGCGTGGGGGTTTATGCCTGTAATCCTAGCACTTTGGGAGGCCAAGGTGGGCGGATCACGAGGTCAGGAGTTCGAGACCAGCCTGACCAACATGGTGAAACCCCCGTCTCTACAAAAAATACCAAAATTAGCCAGGTGTGGCGGCGCATGCTTATAATCCCAGCTACTCAGGAGGCTGAGGCAGGATAATCACTTGAACACTGGGAGGCGGAGGTTGCAGTGAGCCTAGATCACGCCAGTGCACTCCAGCCTGGGCGACAGAGACTCGGTCTAAAAAAAAAAAAAAAAAAAAAAAAAAAAGACAATGAAATCATAGAATTCCAAGAAAACAAAATAATAAAAACCCCATGTAGCAGAATCTATGAGATAAAGTAAAAAAATACCCAGAGGAAAATTGTCTTAAATTTATCAATAAAAATAAAAGAATGTAAAGAAGTGAATGTTAGCATTAATTTTCAAAAAAAGATAAATACCAAGAAAAAAATTATTAAAGTAGAATTAATGAGTTATAAACAAAAGTAGTATAAATAAATCAAAAGGCTAGTTCCTTGCAAACATCAGTGAAAAGAAATCACTAGGTAACTAGTGGAATAAAGGAGAGAAAGCATAAACACGCAAAGTAAGAAATTACAATGGGGGAAATAAGAAACGGAAGGAATTAAAAGATCTCACTAAGAGACTTTGTGTAATTCTATGAAAATAACATTTGAAAAATGAATGAAATGGGTAATATTTCTATGCAAATAAAATTTATCAGAACTGAGCCCAGAAGATAAAAAGCCTAAACAAATCCATTCTGTAGAAGAAATGAAGTCATCAAAGAGCTGTCTCCAAAAAAAAATGAAGTCATCAAAGAGCTGTCTCCAAAATCAGATGGTCTTCACAAAGAAATTCTACAAGATTTTAAGGAGCAAACAGTTTCAAGCTATTTAAGCCATTCCTCTTTGCCCTGGCAAAGAGAAAAGAGAAACTCCCAAATTATGTTTATGAAACTACTATATATTGTGCCAAAACCAGAAAATCTCATGTATAAATCTTGAAGCAAAAATCCTAAATATTAGCAGATAGAATCTAACAGCAACAATAATCAAGATTCAGACAGTATTTATTTTAGGCATGAAAAGATGGCTCAAAATTGGGTAATCAACTAATTAACATAATTCATTGCATTAAAAAAGGAAAACTGCATGATCATTTTTCACAAATGCTGGGTATTTTGTAAGTTTCAACACCCAATCTTGAGAGGAAAAATAAAAATCAACGATACTTCCTTAATATGATAAAAACATTAATCTTATCCTCTTCACCTTAATAGGAAAACATTGAACATGTCAGGGACAAGATAGTGATGTATCAGAGGGGTAAAGTCAAAACAATTAGATAAGAGAACTACATTAGAAGTATTTCTAATTGAAAAAAGTAAAACTGCCTTATGATTCTCTTCAATTTTCTAGGTATACGATGATCTGAAAAATTACAAAAAAAAAAGATAATTAGGTAAAATGGTAGGAAAAATAACTTACATAAACATCATATATGCAAATATCAATTGGTTTGTTAAAAATTAACAAATTTTTAATTTTTATTTGTAACAGCAACAAAGTAGAAAATGCCCAGCAATTAACGAAATGTTCAAAACCAAGATAAAACTTTAAATATTCCTTAAAGACACAAAAATACAGCCGGGCATGGTGGTTCACACCTGTAACCCCAGCACTTTGGGAGACTTGAGGCAGGTGGACCACTTGAGGTCAGGAATTTGGTGACCATGGTGAAACCCATCTCTACTAAAAATACAAAATTAGCCGGGCCTGGTGGTGAGCACCTGTAATCCCAGCTACTTGGGAGGCTGAGGCAGGAGAATTGCTTGAACCTGAGAGGTAGAGATTGCAGTGAGCCAAGATCATGCCATTGCACTCCAGCCTGGGCAACAAGAGTGAAACTCTGTCTCAGAAAAAAAAAAAAAAAAAGACACAAAAATACACCTGACCAAATGAGAAAATGTACTACATCTATCAGTCAGAGCCCACTCAGGAAGAAACCACAATATGTATTTCAAATAGAGAAAATATACTACAGTGAATTGGTTACTACACAGATATTAAGACAGAAAAAAGTGAAATGACAACACTGAGGCAACTCATAAATAATGACTGCAGGAAAAGGTTACCATTCCTAGGGCTAAGACCACAAAAGGTGGTGTTACTAGAACCTACTATCTTAGAGAAGGGGCTTGTGGAGCTGTTGCTCAGTCCTGTGATGAGAAGGTACCTCACTGCTGCTGCTGATAAAGGTTGAGTATTCTTTATCCAAAATGCTTGGGACCCAGAAGTGTTTTAGAGTTCAGATTTTTTTTGGATGTTGGAATATCTGCATTATATGCCTGTATTCCTAATTCAAAAATCTGAAATCCAAAATGCTCCAGTGAGCATTTCCTTTGAGAGTCATGGAGGTGCTAAAGTTTTGGATTTTGAACACTTCAGATTTTTGATTAGGGATACTCAATCTGTACTTCTTGAGTGGGTGTGATGAGGCTGCTTCTGAGTATGCCAAAAGCAGCTAGATGCTACAACTGGATCCACTGCTGCTGGCGATAACTACCATTGCATAAGCAATGCCAATAGAAACAGAACAAAAAACAAAACAAACAACAAAAAAAACCCACCTTTCTCCCCAATATCCTGCAAATACTGGCAGAATATTTATTCTATATTTATTCTAACAGGAATCTAGCTATTAAGAGTTTAGGGAATGAAATTTACAAAGCCTAAAACCCAACATCACAGTGTACAAGAGGGTAAATTTTGAGCTGAACAGTTGGTCCATTCCACTCTTGTGGCATACACATTTGCACTTCCATAAAATGACGATTCCAAGCTTCTATCCAGTCAGATCAAACTATCTTTTATACAAATGAAGGTACTTTTACCTTCTCCCTAAAAAGGGAGACGCAAAGTCCCAACAGTAATTTTATCCATCTGTGCATGTTTTATGACCTCTTCTAGTTGAATCACAATTCCTTAAGAATATTTTGCAACCTAATATTTAAACTAGTTAGCCACCACCAGTATTCCTTAGATAAAGGAGAAAGAAAATATATACATAACAAGCAAAGGAGGAAATAGGAATAGGGACTACATTCTGTTTCTGTAACAGATTACAAGGCTATAGTTGGTATTTATAACTTCCTTCTCCTACCCATTCCATATCATTCCCTTTGCCTACAGCCAAGAACTCAGCTAGCTGCTTTAGGATTAACCTTAGAATCTGAACTCTCAGTGGTCCTGCCTTTAACGGAATGCTGTGGTTTCCCATTACCTTTTACTTTTGGACATGGAAGTATTAAGAGGCACCCCAGAGAATCCCTTAGGCACAGTCCACACTGTGCTAGTTTGTAGCAGTAATCCAATTTTCCCTTGGTAATTCGAATCAATCACCTCAATACATAAATAACCACTTCTTTCCCTGCTGGTTCTGTAAGCATGAGGAATCCAAAATGGTCAAGTGGCAGTCTCAAATTCAGTTTAAGTCAACTGTTGTGCCCTTGGTGGAAGTATGCTATCTATGAGGGTCTGTTTCTTTGGGTCTCTCCCGCTACCAATTATTCATCAGTTAAGAGTTGTCAGAAAAACAGAAATCACATTAGGTAGTTCAAAAAGAGGGAGTTTAGTATACAGAATTTGCTTCTGAGATATTACAGAAGTATAAGGGCCAATATGAACATGAAGATCATTCAGACAACCAACTGCAGGAGGCAGTTACCACAAGGGAAGGAGGTAGGGTGACCAGGACATAGGAGCCTGGAGCAAGGGTCACCGAAGAGTTGGTGCTCAGCTTATGAGGAAAGGTACCACTTCCCTCTGAATGTCAAGGAAGGCTTCACAAAAAGAGTGATGGCTGAGATGGGTTTTTAAAATAAGTTTACTATGCTATTCTACCTTTATTACTAACACATCCACTTTATAATTGGCCTGGTCATTTAGAAATGGTTTCAGGGACTACCACTTTTTAGCACATTAAAAGTATTAGTAAATGAGCCAAACCATGGGTGCTGTAATGCGTCCAAAACAAAACTAGGATTGAAAGCCATCCTTTCCTGCTTCGAATATGTTCATTTAAGGCTGGGTGCGGTGGTTCACACCTGTAATCCCAGCACGTTGGGAGGCCGAGGCGGGCAGATCACTTGAGGCTGGGAGTTCAAGACCAGCCTGGCCAACATGGCGAAACCCGTCTCTACTAAAAAGAATACAAAAATTAGCCAGATGTGGTGGTACACACCTGTAATCCCAGCTACTCGGGAGGCTGAGGAAGGAGAATCCTTTGAACCCAAAAGGGGTGGTTAGCATTCAACTTCCACTTTGAATGCTAAGATTGAGCCACTGCACTCCAGCCTGGGTGACAGAGAGGTTGCAGTAAGCCGAGATCATACCACTGCACCCCAGCCTGGGCGACAGAGTGAGACTGTCTCAAAAAAAAAAAAAAAAAAAAGAGTATGTTGGTTTAAAGAAAGGCACTGTCTAAGACAGTTTCTCTGACCAGAAAAGTACACACTTATGAAGCAACCACAGAGTGTACGGCACTAGGCATCACCAACCTCTCTGAGGAAGGTAATCAGAACCCTTATAAAGGGATCCACTTTGCTACCTGGCATTATTGCTGGTGCAGGGAAGTATCATACCAATTTACTGAGAAGGTTTTGAATCACATCTGGGTGCACTGTCTCCTCTTTCTTCACCTTTTTCTAGCACTATGGTTATTTACCACAACACACAGGCCCTTTTTATCTGTAGCTGGGAAAAGGGTATTTGGACACCCTAAGGAAAGCGGGTGGTAGTGAGAACAGTGCACAGAAAGGTTCAGCAACACAATTTTTGGTGGTACAAACAGCTTGTTTTTGGATATGTAGACAGATTGGAGTACACACATTGACTAACCAATGCAGTAATTACAAAGAGGGGGTTTTGAAGTCATCTGGCTGAAAAGCTGCTGGAAAGGCCAAACATACCCACAGATACACTTTGAATCTAATTACTAGTACATTTGCTACACTGAAGAACAGAGGTATGGAAAGAACATCTTACCTTTTACCAAAAGAAAGAGAAAATAATTCAGATGGAGATGCTAAAGGGAAAAGGCAGTGAAATGCGAGTAATTTATAATTTGTTTACAAAGCTTCCCTAACTATGCTAGACAGCAATTACACCAATCAAGTCTGAAGTGACTTCGCTGATGCACACCCAGGCAGGACAAAAAGCCAGCAGGGCTTAAAATCTGAGGGCTGGAGAGGAAAACAGCTTAAGATCCTCAACCCTGTGATGCTTGTGTGCCAAAAACTTGAAATAGAGAACTAAAGATTGCAGCCTTTACTTGTCCTCTACCCTGACAGGAGATTCAAAAGGCAGAGCAGATGAAAAAATGGAAAGAGAGGCTTGAGAAAAAGTATTATTCCACAGAAATTCAAGATGACTACCAGCCTGTCACTCAAGAAGAATTTCGAGAGTAAGCTTATGTTCTAACCAGAGTATTATGGGATATCATGACATGGGCATTAAGGACATGAGTTAAACACATTATTTTCCTGAACCTAAAACCTCATTCTATCGGGATGCCTTTATTTTCTATCCAATTTTAAAGTTGCATATGACTCCATTTGCTTAAAAGGTGAGAAGCTTTTGATTACATCCCCATATCTCTAAATAACAGAAACTGCCATTTATATTTGAATTGCATAGCAGATACTGTTCTCCACACAGCTTTAGAATATTAGATCTATTACTGGTCACAAGAAGCACATTTTAGGAGCTTACAATACTACCTTCCCAAAGCATTTCAAACTAGTAACTTGCTGTCTATACATAAAAGTGTATTACTGACTCATTCTCTACTTCCTTGTAAATTTTCTAGACTCTTTTTATATGCTGTGGAGCTGGAGAAGGAATTACACTACATCAATTTGAAGCTAAATCAAGTGATGAGAAAGGTTTCAGCTCTCTAGTATTGAGACAAGTGGAGGTAAGAATCTGTGATGCAATCACTGAGCATTTCTTATTCATGTATTACTTCATAAACTTGTACACGTTTCAGGCACACTTTAAAAAGTACTAACCAATCTATCAAACTATCCTCAGGGTCAGAATTAAGTGCCTCTGACAGGGACTCACTGTACAATCCATGCATATTATGACAAGCCTCCAGTATATACACACTGGTACAAAGGATTTATAATGAGGTTTCTTATCAAATTCTAGAAAAGTGAAAGAAAAGTACAAGAAAATGCTTCTAGTTCATGGGGCAGGTCTCCAGTAGTTCAGTAAGTAGATAAAGACAGTTTTCTCCAAGTTACAGAGTAGAAAAACTATTGGTGCTATCAAGTGCATCATGTACATGTTATGAATTCCTTTGGCCACAGATGAATCAATAAAGGCTTAGGATTCTGGGAAACCATTATATAAGACCAAAGTAACCTCCCTCCATTCTTTAGAATTTGAAGTCTTCTGGAAAAAGCCAAAGTGTAGAACAAACTCCTCAGCCACCTACAGAAACTTCACTAACATCTTCAAACTGGAAACTTACCTAGACCATTTCTAAGGTGTAATGCATTTAAGGTTTCCCCAAAATAAAATGCAGAGCAGGGTAGGCGTATCAGTGTCATAAGAAGTTATGTTTGGAAAGTGTAAATGAGGTTGCTGTAACAGCCTTATTTGGAGGGTTGGAGAGTTGTGTGTGGCTGGCATTTTGGAAACTGGAGAGAAATTCTTCTAATTTTTCTAGGCTATGTAAGCCCCCCTACAATAGCCACATGTTCTCTCAGCCCAAGCAACATCATTTGACCTTAGCACTCAACTTCCACATTGGTGCTCAATAGTCCCTGAATTTTAAAACTCGAATATAAAGACATTTTTAGATTACTACTCACCTTCCTCAGGACAAGCTCTTCTCTTAAGAGACCGTACATCAAATGTTCTTAATGGGATAATTCATTGTAACAAGAAATGCTAACTGTTCTATCTGCGGCTTCTCCCTAGATTTGCACAAGGGAATGAATAACATGGCCCTTCCCTGCCTTACCATTTCCCAGAGTTGTAACCAGCCAAATAGTTTAGTGACCCTGTTGTTCCCTACCACAGCCCCCAGGTGGGATCATTTAAACAAAGCCTAAGGGTAACAGAACACTTGGGGACTTTTTTTTTAAGCCCAATGGAAAAACAAACATACATTTACAATGACTTAGAACTTTCGAGTTCTTTTATTACAAAAGTCTGTACAATGAAGTGCCAGACACAGCAATGCAATTATACTGGTGGACATATATATATCTATATATTATTTGTATATAGATATACAGTTTTTATTTGTACCAAAGTAAAACTATCACCAACTGCCTAATTCTACCAGCTACTGGTCAACTATGACACACAATACCGTCACAGAGCGTAAGTGCTGCCATGCCACTTTTACATATTCTACTCACAGCCAAACATTAACATTGAATAACATCATGAAGCAGCTGTTAATTCTAAAATGAAACCAGTCAGGCCACTGACTTATAAAAATATGGTACTCATATAGATTTAGCATTATAAAGAAGGAATATATTATTTAAAACATTTAAATAGTGCATATGGACATTTTTGCATGTGGTATATAAAATAAAACATTCATATAAAATACACAGTGCACACAAAATTAGATGTTTGGATACACTCCTATCTGGAGACTGAAGGAAATTATCTGAAATGTACACTGCATGACGAATTCAAATAAAAATGATACATCTTTTGGCATTTTCAATTTCACTTTTCTAGGTATACATTATGAATAACCTAGTTGTATCAAAAGGAAACCACACAAAAAGGGCAGGATTTAGTGCTTTTCTTTATTCCCCAACTACACATTCACTACTAGGTTTTCCCTCACCCCCCCGCCCCCAAAAAAGGCATTGCACACACGGGTGAAATGTGAAGTACTAGAACTGCTATTTATTATCAAACTACTTCATGTGCTTACTATGTAATAGTGCCAGAAGTCTGAGGTTCATGCTTCCCTCACCTTATTAAAGGATGTTGCAAAATTCCATTTTTATATGGAACAAATTGTTTATATTAGCTAGTTAAGAAAACCATGCATGAGTCATTGCATGCAAAACATGGGTATAGTCAAAGTGAGACAGTCATCAATCCAAAAAAGCACCAGAAAAAAAAAGTTAATTGCATGCAAAACATGGATATAGTCAAAGTGAGACAGTCATCAATCCAAAAAAGCACCAGGAAAAAAAAGTTAACACTTAGATTAAGCCTGATCCAAATCTGCTGTTGTACTGTTAGCACAAATGAAGTCACCATTCGGTGACCGGGAGAGTACCTGAAGAAAAGCCATGCAAAGCCAAAGAAAAAATATGCTAAGAGTTTATGACAAGGGGCATACCACTACACATCCTGTAAACAGCTGCTTTAAACAGCATGTGATGATTGACCAAAGGGTGGTTCCTTAAGAGGGCGTTGTTGTTGTTGTTTTGGTATGGATTTTGCTCATTAAAACAGGTGGGGAAAAAAAAAGATAACCCCCTGAAGGTACATGTCAAAATGCAGTGGTATAGCCCTTGTTAAGAACAGATTTACCTTAGGCATAATGATTACTGATTTAGGCCCATTGATTGAACACACAAATCTGAGCACCATCAGAGTTCCTACATACTGACATGGCTATTTTCTCACATTATCTGGAGGTGGGTTGGGGAACAGCGCGGATCTGATCCAGACAAATCACACCATTGCCAGCGGATAAACAGTAACTCAGGAAACAGTAACTGAAGTCCCATAGGCAGCATGTGGTATGATTCAGTTCTGTGTGTGATGTGTGGTATGTGTTTTCAATATACTAAGCAAGGTCACTTTTTGGTCTACCAACTGTTATCTTCATCCAGGAGCTGTGTGACCACTGAATTGCAAAATTTTACTAACATACTACCTGTGAGAAGGTATCACTTTGGGAATTAAACAGAAAGGTATTCCACAGTAGGACTTGAAATCTCAGTTTGATTTTGGTTTTCTAGGAAAACAGAGAACACAGTTGCATATGTGCACTTTTATAAGTTTTTCTTTCAAATTTTCAGTCATTCTGTAAGAAAAAGGCAACAGAAGAATTCAGTGTGAAGATTTTCCTCCAATTTTCTTCAGTAATGAGAAACAAAAAGTTGGTAATAACAAAAAGTTTGCATTTCCAAAGTTCTTGAAGTTGAAAGAATAAAATTCTAGCCTTTTGCTAAAAGGATGTATTTGTAGTACAAAACAATGAAGGAAACCATGTTTGCTAAAAGTGGAGAGGACAGTCTGTGGTTAATATGGAACATCACTTACGCTCCCTTGAGAGGGCCTACTTACTCTCCCATCATTTGTTTTGTTTACTGGCACCACAACCAAGTACAAAATGAGATTCTCTGAGTGCCTGACAAAATGAATTTAAGTACCAGCCAAGTACCCATGATGATAGCTTCAAGGAATACAACTGACTTTATGATATGAATTTTCAAAGAACGTATTTTATATGGATTTTGAAGAATCTTGCTTGCTTATAAGAACTTCAAGAAGCCTAAGCTTGGCTTTAATTTTCTTGTACTCCCTGTACTCCTCAAGCACTGGAACACGATCCTCTTTCTGGGCATTCCTAGGGGAGAAAATAACATTTGTAATGTTCTAAAGATCATTTGGAAAAAAAGATCCAAAAGTTGTCTTAATATGAGACATACTGTTACTAAATATAAGTTCAAATAAAAAGTTGTTCCATTTAAAAAAAAAAAAAAAGTTATTGGACTAATACCCTCATCCCCAAGGAACATTTCTAAAATTTTTGATGGACTTCTCTACTTACAGATTAAATGATACTATACTTACAAATAATCAATTTAGATAACTGTAGGAAACCCAATATTTTAGTAGGACATCCAGCACTAGACTCTGCCAGGTCTGTGAATATCTATTAAGTGTTGGAGGCTACACTGAGTCATTTACTACATTTAGTTAACTGTGGCTCCAGTGAATTGAGATGTAAAAGTAAATTATCTTACCTGCAACAAGAACAATTTTCTAACTTTATAGTAATGACCCAATGCAATTCAGTTTAATCACTAGCTAAAGAATCAAACTATTCTAATTATAAGCAAAATTTTCTTCCAATAATACAATGAAATAGAAGACACTTAGAAAAATGCATTTCTGCACTTCAATTTTTTTTTTTTTTTTTTTGAGACGGAGTCTTGCTCTGTCACCCAGGCTGGAGTGCAGTGACGCCATCTCAGCTCACTGCAAGCTCCGCCTCCTGGGTTCACGCCATTCTCCTGCCTCAGCCTCTGGAGTAGCTGAGACTACAGGTGCCCGCCACCACACCCAGCTAATTTTTTATTTTTCGGTAGAGATGGGGTTTCACTGTGTTAGCCAGGATGGTCTCGATCTCCTGACCTCGTGATCCGCCCGCCTCAGCCTCCCGAAGTGCTGGGATTACAGGCGTGAGCCACTGTGCCCAGCCCACTTCAGATTATTTTTAACCATATGTGCCAACCTATATAGGAGACTCACAAAGCAAAGGGAATTAGAGTACAGATATTTTAGAATTTGTAGTATTAGCTATCAGCTTGGTAAGATAACCCAGCTACTTAGAAAAATGTTTCTCAGACCTGAGATAACTGAACCCAAACTTCTGGCCACCATCAGAACTGGAATGTATTTTTCTTAGTTTTAAAAGAGCCCTTCCAAGCCATTGTGCATTACCTAGTTAGATAAAGGCACGTGCCATACTGTATTATAGGAGCCACATGCCTGGCACACTGTTACACACCTTGGAAATGGGCAGCCTCAACACACAGTATGAACACAATGGTCTCAGTATAAGATAAAAAATCCAAACTAGTTGAGGATACCACTCCTGTCATGGGATCCTTTCTAAAATAAGAGGTATCTCATTTCACAACCACTCCCAAAAGGGTAAGGATGTAGAATTAAAGAATATAAAATCACTGCAGTACAACCAAGGCACCCTAGGACAATCTGAAAATAGTTAATCAGATTTGTTTACACTAGCTGTGACTATTCCTGGCCATTAAAAGCAGGGCCTCGGAGCATAAAGGAATGTTTTAAAATTTTTCAGTGCTAGCATCCTATATGCACAATTTCTAACCCCACATATTCCATTATTTCAACATATGGTCAACTTGTGAGTTAGAGGAGAAAGATGACTCAATTTTGTGATGCTCAACAAACCTTCCATTTTGTTGATAAAATGCTTCTTCAAATTCCCGCAACGTTTTGCGTAGTTTCTTTTTTTCAGCTCTGGCTTTCCAAAGTTGTTCCAGTAATTCAGGCCTAGAATTGAAATGGTAAGAAAATACTGAAGGGCACACTTGATTCATTATATTCTTAAGAGAGGCTCTATTTCTGGCTGCAAATTAAAAGCGGCTGGGGAACTCTTAGCTCTACCAATACCTAAGCTCCACTGCAAACCAATGAAATCAGAACAGCTGAAGGATTCAAGCATCAGTACTTTAAAATCTTCCCAGTGAAGTCAGGGCTCAGAACCAGCGACATATACCATATCATCCAAAGGTAAAGAAGTGGATATTGAACAAAAAGATCAACTCGCAACTAGTTCCTGTACTTTGTCATAAATCAACTGTAGAATTTTGTTTGTTTGCTTTTTTAGAGACAGAGTCTCACTCTGTCGCCCAGGCTCGAACACAGTGGTGCGACAGTGCCCTCAATATCCTCCAAACAGAGAATCAAGCGATCCTCTTGCCTCAGCCTCCCAAGTAGCTGGGACTACACATGCACGCCACCACCCCGGGCTAATTTTTAAAAATTTTTTATAGAGTCTGGGTCTTTGTTGCCCAGGCTGGTCTTCTACTCCTGGCCTCAAGGGAATCCTCCTGCCTCAGCTTCAAAAAGTGCGGGGATTATAGGCATGAGCCACTGTGCCTGGCTAGATTTTTTTTTTTTAATTTTTGAAACACAGTGATGTTTTATTTAAAAATGGGAATGACAATAAATATTTGTAAATCACACTTAAAAAGCATGCATCCTTTGATAAATCTTGATTTATCTCCTATTAATTCCTTAATGCTCATTTAACATCAAATTTCTTGGCATATACATTTTATCATAAAAATAGGCTAAAATCACAAATCAGCATACATACATAGAAGCTGCTCGAGAACTCGACAATCGGAGATCCAGAGCCAGTTTTTCTTGATTTTCTTCAACATCAGATTCAGAGTTTTCTAATGAAGGCTGTACCTGTACTGCAGTTTTCAAGATATCACTTAACTCAGAGGACAGATTAACACCATCTTCTTCTTCTTCCTAAAAAGATATCCAAACAGAGAATTAAACATGCCTTGTCTTTGAACTTTTCCCTTAGGGAAGGGATTAGATCATTATTTCTTTAAAGGATTACCTTGATTTCTTCAAAAAAATGTGCAGTTTCTCCTTCTATGATTGGCTGTAACATCTGACCCCTTCTCTTGGTGGATGGAGATCCCTATAACAATCAATAATATAAATAGTTTTACATTTTAAGTATTCAAAGTGTCAAGTAAAGCTTCACTTCATTATGTTATGAATCTTCTGTTTAATTTTCAAAATCTTAAACATTTGCTTTAAATATTTTTAGGAACTGCTTAAATTTATTTTTGCTTATATTTTTATTTATGCAGAAGGAAGATAATAATTTATGCCTAGAAAAGTCTAAAAGAGCTCATACAACAGATATTTTAAAAATTCTAAATGGGCCAGGCGTGGTGGCTAATGCCTGTAATCCCAACACTTTGGGAGGCCAAGGCAGGCAGATCACAGGTAAGGAGATCGAGACCATCCTGGCTAACACAGTAAAAGCCCGCTTCTACTAAAAATACAAAAAAATTAGCCAGGCGTGGTGGCGGGCGCCTGTAGTCCCAGCTACTTAGGAGACTGAGGCAGGAGAATCACTTGAACCCGGGAGGCGGTTGTAGTGAGCAGAGATTGCGCCACCGCACTCCAGCCTGGGCAACAGAGCAAGACTCCGCCTCAAAAAAAAAAAAAAAAAAAAAAAAAAAAAAAAAAACTAAATGATAAGAACACATATATAGTTTAACTGGAAGCACTTTTCTTTTTAAAAATAGGTGTCAACTTTTTTGGTTTGAGGACCATTCTATACTTTTTTAAAAACAACTTTATTAAGATATAATTACATATCATAAAATTCACCCTTTTAAAATGTATAATTTGGTGGTTTTCAGTATATTTACCAAGTTTTGCAACTATCTCCACTAATTTCAGAACATTTCATTACCTCAGAAGAAACTCTGTACCCATTAGCTGTCACTCATTTGCCTTCTCCCCCTAGCCCCTGGTAACCACTAATCTAAATTCTGTCTCTATGGTCTTGCCTATTCTAAATCTTTCATAAAGATGGGATCATATAATATGTGCCCCTTTGTGTCAGGCTTCTCTCATTCAGCTTGTTTCCAAGGTTCACTCATGTTGTGGCATCTATCATTATTTCATTGTTTTTTATGGCTGAAGAATATTTTGGGTGTATGGGTTACATCTTATTTACCCATTCATCTGCTGACATTCGACTCAGCAGTCCCATCACTAGGTATATATATCCAAAAGAAAACAAATCATTCTACCAAAAACAACACATGCAGTCACATGGTTATTCATAGCACTATTCACAATAGCAAAGTCATGAAATCAGGTGCCCATCAACAGTGGATTGGATAAAGAAAATGTGGTACATATACACCATAAAATATTACACAGCCATAAAAAAGAACAAAATTGGCAGGGCACAGTGGCTCATGCCTGTAATCCCAGTACTTTGGGAGGCCGAGGGAGATGGATGACAAGGTCAGGAGTTCAAGACTAGCCTGGCCAAGATGGTGAAATCCTGTCTCTACTAAAAAATTAGCTAGGCGTGGTGGCGGGTGCCTGTAATCCCAGCTACTCGGGAGGCTGAGGTGGAGAACTGCTTGAACCTGGGAGGCGGAGGTTGCAGTGAGCCGAGATCGCACCACTGAACTCCAGCCTGGGTGACAGAGCGAGACTCTATCTCAAAAACAAAAACAAAAACAAAACAAACAAACAAAAAATCATGTCCTTTGGGATAACATGGATGCAGCTGGAGGCCATTATCCTAAGCGAAGTAACAAATGAACAGCAAACCAAATACTGAATGTGCTCATCTATAAGTGGGAGCTAAACATCAGGTACTCATGGACATAAAAAAAGGCAACAACACACAATGTGGACTACTGTGGGGAGGGAAGGGAAGGGGGCAAGGAGTGAAAAACTGTTGTGCACTATGCTCAGTACCTAGGTGACAGGATTATTTGTATCCTAAACCTCAGCATCAAGCAATACACCCAGGTAATAAAACTGCACATATACCCCTTGAATCTAAAATAAAAGTTTGGGGAAAAAAAAAAAAAAAAAAAAGTCACCAGGCAGTCATCACCTAAAGGAAGCCGCCATGCAAGTAGCTGTCTACATAAAAATAGCCTGAAAGCCACAGCAAACCAGAAGGTTCAGTGAATTAATTCATAGGAAATCATGTAGAATGGGATACATGCTGTTTTCTATTTGAACCCAAGACCAATCTGTCTACAGTCATACTATCTAAAGGTTAATTTGAAGATAGCGCTTAATCTGCATTTAAATACTACAGTTTTCATTTTTCTTTAAAAATGCACACAAATACCAATAAGCATTATTTTAAGTGACTTTTTCTCATTAAAAAGATTAACTTATTTTAAAAGTCAGCTTATATCATTATGCAAATAAAAGGACATCATCATGGCCACCACAAAACTGATGCATTTTCAAAGACATGAATTTAAATGGAAATAAACTAGACACTCTGACATGAATTTAAATGGAAATAAACTAGAAACTCTGAATGAGTTTCCCATTCTGCTTCTGTCACTTACAAAGTAGATTAGGCACATCACTCACTGCCTAAGCCTCAGTTTCATCACCTCTGAAATGATGCTATCATATTCTACCTGTTGTGATTTTACTTGTCAGGATTTAATGACATAAACATACATAAAAATGCTTTCAAAATGCTTACAAAAGTGTCTGGGATATACTAGCAGACATTATTAGTTTCTTACTTTAAAATCAGTAATCTCACCTTACAAGGACAATTATTTCTGTCTTGACTGTGTATTTCTCCAATATACCACAATAATAATTTTTTGGGGGAAGAGTACATCTTGATAAAATGAACTAGAGAATTACTGCTTATTTTACTTACAAGGACAGGAGTGATGCTAGCTCTTGTAAGCATTTGTTTTACAAGCCTGTATCTATCATAGAGAGGTTTAACAATATGCCTTTCTTCCTTGGTCACCTGAAGCAAGAAAAAAAAGAAACTGTCTAGTCATCACAAATCTAAAATGTCCAAAACATTAAACAATGACTTATTCTCCCAATTTCAAATTTTATATTAAATACATAGGCAATCCCCCAATTGTAGGAAATAATGCTCAAAAAACAGCCCTGAAGAACGCAGGCCACAGAAGTGATTCATGTTCTTTTTTAAGACATAAAATCAAATCTTTTTAGCAAGAGAGATATTACCGGCCTTCCATGTTGACTTTCATAGTAAAGAAGACTTTTCTGAAGAGAAGCTTTCTCTTCTACCAAATGATCTTTGGTCATTTTCTGGAATTAAACAAAAAAAATAACAAAATACAAAAAAACCCAAAAACAAAAACAAAAACAAAAACTCCACTGGCATCATTAATATTCTCCTCGCTCCCACAATGTAAATAATTAGGTAGAAAGGGCAGACCATCAACAGTCTAGCCCAGGCTAATAAAGCCTTTGCTTGCAGATTTGCAGGCAAATTTTTCAGTCTCCTATACAATTTGCTCTTGTAATAAGTAGGTACCAACCCCTTTGATGGCTTTACATTTTATCTGAATAGATTATGATTACTGGCTTGGGTAAATTACCTAACCTCTTTGTATTCAATATCCTCATCTGTAAAATGGGAATACTTCGTTCTACCTTAAAGGGCTCTAATGAGGAATAAATGAGTTCTATGTAAAGTATTTGCAACACTGCCTACCTGGCACAGAGTAAACATAAATAACTGCTTGCTATTTCATTTAATGTTGTTGGCATTTTATTGGCATTAAGTGAGCAGGCACACACGCGCATGCGCATACACACATAGGTTTTACAATACAATATTTATTCTAAACCATTAAGAAAATCTAGAAGCAGTATAGTGGAAAGATCCTGGAAAAAGCTCAACAATGTCCATTTGTGACCTCACACTTCTCTATTACCTCAGTTTTCCTTCATCTGGGTTAGCACATTCTTTACACTGCAATACTCTTCTCACAGCTTTTATAGTCTAATTAGTAGAGTAAGCAATGCTTCCCAAATTTATTTGTCCACAAACAAGCTCCACAGACAAATAAATATGGTAAGCCTTGCATACTCTTACTAATTAAAACAAATTTGTCCCCTTCGTTCTACAGGATCACCTATTAACACCTGAACGTGCGTTCCACAGAATACCCTTTAACACTAGACCAAATAATCTCTCTACTTATTCCCAGGACTCATTAATACTACCCTGGTCTCTCATGAGAGTAAAATTGAAGATAAAAAAATTCACTGGATAACATCTTGCTATAACAAACATAACTTTAAAATTATATACATTCAGTAGAGGATAGATGAGTGTAGTCTGTCAAACACTGATTTCAACTTCAAGCTTGAATCAGTCTTAAACCAGGGATAACACACTTGCATAAAGTTGTGGGTGGGTGGGGGAATATTTATTCTAACATAAAATTTTAAAAGGGCTTGATGCTGTGGTTCACACCTATAATCTCAGCAATTAAGGCCATGAGTTCAAGACCAGTCTGGGCAACATAGTGAGACACGATTTCTACCCAAAAAAAAATTTTTTTTTTTTGAGACGAGGTCTTGCTGTGTTGCCCAGGCTTGAGTGCAGTGGTGCAATCCTGGCTCACTGCAACCTCCGTCTCCTGGGTTCAATCAATTCTTCTGCCACAGTCTCTGGAGTAGCTGCATTACAGGCATGTGCCACCACAACCAGCTAATTTTTTTTGTACTTTTAGTAGAGATGGGGTTTCGTCATGTTGGCCAGGCTGGTCTCGAACTCCCGACCTCAGGTGATCCACCCACCCCAGCCTCCCAAAGTGGTGGGATTACAGGCATGAGCCACTGCGCCCAGCCAAAAGAAATTTTTTTTAAGCAAAAGAAATGTTAAGAGGGGAAGAGATAAGAATGACTAATTCAGCTCTATTCAAGGGAAAGACAGACTCCAATATTTGGATCATGAGACAGGTATACTCTGTTGTCAAAGTAAGAGTTCTGCATCAGGACTATTACTTAGATAAAAGTTCACCTGAGACCATCTACTCTCTCCATTCTCCAAGCAAATCTCATCCAATATAAGAATAGGTTGCCAAGTGCTTTGATCAGGACTGCCCTAGGCACAGGCTTTACTAGGGAAGAATAATGGCTCTTCAAAAAAAAAAAAAAATTCATTTAATCCTCATAACCATATCAAGTTAGTATTAATGGACATAATCACGTCCATATACATTATAGGATTGTTGAAGGGGCTGAGTGGCATAATGCATAAAATATAACCACCCAATCTGGCATAAGCTAGGAGATCAATACATATAGCTATTAAGACACAAGGACAGGATTCAAGCTGAGGTCTGTAGGTCTGTTTCATGTTTTTTTTTGTTTGTTTTTGAGATAGGGTCTCACTCTGTCACCCAGGCTGGAGGTACAGCTCACTGCAGTCCTGATCTCCGGGGCTCCATCGATCCTCCCACCTCAGCCTTCCAAGTAACTGGAACTACAGGTGCATACCACCACATCCAGCTAATTTTTAAATTTTATTTGCAGAGACAGGGTCTCACTTTGTTGCTGAGGCAGGTCTCAAACTCCTGGGCTCAGGCAATTCTCCTGCCTGGACCTCTGAAATTGCTGGAATTAGAGGCATGAGCTACCTGTTTCGTGCTCTTTATACACTCATCTTGCCAACTGCCTCGAACATAAATGAACTCATCAGCATTCTAGTTTTTTCAGTTTTATTATGATTCAATTCCTGAAGTATTTGGCACTTCTGTTATGCTGATTAAAGCATGTTTCTGAATCTGCAAAGATGGGGAGCAGATTCAGGAAAATCAGACTACCTAGACATCTCTATCCTGCTATAGTAATTATTTTGTTTCAGGAATTCTAAAGGCTAATCTGGGCAAAAATCATAGCTCAAGATTACCTTGATATCTTCTGGAAGACACCTCTCAATACGTTTTTCTTTCAGTCTTTTAAGAATAAGTTCAAGGGTTGCTTCTTTAGATGGTTTCTTCTCCTTCTGAATGACCTTCGGTTCATCTTCATTCTCCTCATCTTCATGGTCTAGAGAAGAACCAAAGCTTTTTGGAAGAGTGTTACTACGTGGACGTGTCTGAGGTACAAATTCTCCATCAGAATTTTTGTGTTTTGCATCTACATGTCAGAAATAAGGAGAGATCATGATAATAATTGGTTTTAGCTTTGACCAGGTCAAAGAATAAGCAAGATATACAACAAGAAAGTACACATTAAAGCACACAGACTTAGATATTTCAAAGCCAAATAAAACATTTAAGAAGCAAAAAACAGCAAGATAGCTATTCTAGGCCGGGCGTGGTGGCTCACACCTGTAATCCCAGAACTTTGAGAGGCTGAGGCAGAAGGAGTGCTTGAGCCCAGGAGTTTGAGACTAGCCTGGACAACTGAGTGACACCCCATCTCTACAAAAAATTTTTTAAATTAGCTGAGGCCGGGCATGGTGGCTCACACCTGTATCCCAGCACTTTGGGATGCCGAGGTGGGCGGATCACTTGAGGTCAGGAGCTCGAGACCAGCTCGGTCCACATGGCAAAACCCCGTCTCTAACAAAAATACAAAAGTTAGCCAGGTGTGGTAGCACATGCCTGTACATGGTAGCACACATCTGTAATCTCAAATACTCATGAGGCTGAGGCAGGAGAATCACTTGAACACAGGAGGCGGAGGTTGCAGTAAGCCAATGTCACGCCAATGTACTCCAGCCTGGGTGAGAAAGTGAGACCCTGTCTCAAAAAAAAAAAAAAAAAAAAAAATCTGAGCACGGTGGCACATGCCTGTAAGTCCTAGTTACTTGGGAGGCTGGAGTGGGAAGACCACATTGAGCCTGGGAGGCTCACGCTACAGTAAACTGAGACTGTACCACTGCAATGCAGCCTGGGCAACAGAGTCAGACCTTGTCTTAAAAAAACACAAAAACGTAACAAAAAAAGAGAGAACAAGCTATTAATTTTATATCCATAGACAGCCTACTATTGAATAAAATGCTCTGATGGGCATAGGAGATACAGAAGAAAACAAAACAGACATGGTTCCTGTTCTTGTGGAGCATAAATTCAGGGAAGGAAAAACAATAACCAAATACTCAGATTAGTAAAATAACTTTAAAGAATGCTATGATCTATAAATAAAACAGGATGGAGTTGCAGTGCTAAAAGCAGTAAAATTTGTGGAGGAACAACTACATTGGATGGGACTGACAAAGAAGACCTCTCTGAATAGTATCATCCTGGTAGAATACGGAATAAGGAGCTCGTCTAGCATAAAGAATTTACTGGAAGGGCATCTGTCCCTAGTGAGGCAACAGCTAGTGTGAAGGTCCTAAAGCTTGGCAAGCTTGAGGAACAGAAAAGAGATGAAAGTGATAAAATCGGCCAAGGGCAGAGTGTGCAAGGCCTTGAAAGCCACAGTCACGAGTTTTGACTTTATTCTAGGTGGAAGCCCACTGAAGGGCTTGAAAAAGAGAGTAACGTGACTTTTTATTTTTCTTTTTGAGACAGGGTCTTGCCCTGTCACCCTGGCTGGAGTACAGTGGCACAAACATGGCTCACTGCAGCCTTGACCTCCTGGGCCTAAGTGGTCCTCCTGCCTCAGCCTCCAAAGTAGCTGGGACCCAGGCTAACATGAATTTTTAAAATATTAATCTAACTACCATGCAGCAAATGGACTACAGAGCAGTAGAAGTGAAAGAAAATGGGAAAATTATGAGGCCAATGCTAGACAATTTAATGGTATCAGTTACTAATAAAATCAAAGTAATAATTTTCACTGATGACTGGAAATTGGCATTAAACACGGAAATCTTTAACAGAAGTACAGGGGAAAATTAAGCGATACTCTAAAGAGGAGTTAAGAGACATTATCTTGGCCGGCCATGGTGTCTCACGCCTGTAATCCCAGCACTGTGGGAGGCCAAGGCAGACAGATCGCTTAAGCCCAGGAGTTTGAGACCAGCCTGGGCAACATGGTGCAATGCCATCCCTACTAAGAATACAAAAAAATTAGCTGGGCATAGTGGCATGTGCCTGTAGTCCCAGCTACTCAGGAGGCTGAGGTGGGAGGATCACTTCAGCCCGGGAGGTGGAAGTTGCAATGAGCTAAGATCATGCCACTGCACTCCACTCCTGAGCAACAGAGTAAAACCCTGTCTTAAAAAAAAAAAAAAGAGAGAGAGCGCGCCAGACTTTATCTTAACCACAAGAATATAAACTCCATGACAGTAGGGACTGTGTCTGTCTTGTTCACTGCTATATCTCTAGTTGTCTACAAAGTACTTAATACTTCAGAAATACTAAACACTTTACTGGGCCAGGCGTGTGGCTCACACTTGTAATCCCAACACTTTGCAAGACCGAGGTGGGAGAATTGCTTAAGGCCAGAAGTTTGAGACCAATCCAGGCAACAAAGCAAGAACCCAACTCTATACAAAATTTTAAAAAATTACTTGGGTTTGGCAGTGCATGCCTGTAGTCCTAGCTACTCTGGAGGCTGAGGTAGAAGGATCACTTGAGCCCATCAGTTCAAGGCTGCAGTGAGCCACGACCGTGCCACCACACTCCAGCCTTGATGACAGAGCAAGATTCTGTCTCAAAAAATAAAAAATACGTATTTTTTTATTTTTATAAGCCAGGTGCAGTGGCTCACACCTGTAATCCCAGCACTTTGGGAGGCTGAGGCAGGTGGATCACTTGAGCCCAAGAGTTCGAGACCAGCCTGGGCAATATGGCAAAACCCTGTCTCTACTAAATATTACAAAAATTAGCTGGGCTTGGTGGCATGCACTTGTAATCCCAACTACTCGGGAGGCTGAGGCACAAGAATCACTTGAACCCAGGAGGCAGAGGTTGCAGTGAGCTGAGATGGCATCACTAAATTCCAGCCTGGGCAACAGAGTGAGACTCTGTCTCAAAAAAATAAGAAATAAAAATAAAAACTTTATTGAGTAAATTTAAATGAATAAACCAAAGTGATGCTCCAGATAATAAACCCCTATTTTGCATAATTTTAAAAGTAATAATTATTAAAATACATACTCACTAAACATCCACAAAGTAAATATACTTCAACAACTACTATACTAGTTTGACACCTAGAAATGCAATGCCTAGTTTATCATTCAAGAGTTACAATTTAGTCTTTGTGGTATAAACAAGTCACTGTGATTAGACTTTCTTAGTCTTAGATGAAAATATCTACCAAAAAATCTTAATGAAATATCCACCACAACTCAAAGCTGCTTAATATTTGAAATATATTTCAGATAAACTTTATAACATCAGTTCACTTATGAATATACAATCTCAGGTATCTTTCAAAAAGACGTTACTAATAAAAACACAAAAAAGACATTTAAAATATAATACAGAACTACTGTACTATAACACAGTACTACAGTATGCAACTTTGACCCTAATAAAAGAAAAAAAGGTAACTTTCATTTTTGTCAAACAGTGCCCAAGATTTAAAATTATCAAAAGTTGTAATTCTCAGACATTAATATAAAAAAAAATTTTTAACTGCAAATATATTACAAGATGGCACAAAATGTACCTTTAATTTGCTTCCGCAGTTTTGTAAGCTCTGTCATCCATTTTAATACCTTTGGATTAGCAGCAATATCACTGTAGGAGGGCTGAAAAATTATGGAGCAGAATCACTGACACTTGTGATAAGCAATAGTTATGTTAATTTATGTCCAAATAGTATTTTACAGTTTCCACAGCAAAGACTACTCAATTCTCATTTCATCTTATTTTAATTAGATAGGGCAGGATATTAAGTCAAGTTCTCCCAAGGTAAGGTCTAGTAACTGGCAGAAGCCAGATTTGAATATGGGTCTTCTGACCCCAAGTATAGGACTCTTTCCACTTCACATGTCCTAACTATTAAAACTCTCTTTCCCTCCTCCACTTCATCCCTCACAAACTCCCTCTCCTCCCCATTTGGTACTTGCGGTTTTTGATAAGAGCAGAAATAGCAGTAACATGATTTGTCAATGTAAAAATACTTGCTTTAAAAATTCTAAAAGCTGCTTTGCCAATGGAAATAAAAAGATGCCACGGTGCAAATGGCAAGAATACTGACCTGGAAGTCAGGAGACTGAGGAGTTATATAATCTCAGATCTACATGATCACTGTTCCTCTGGGCATCTCAGATTTATTACCTTTCTCACACAGATCTAAACTAATGCTCTTGAAAAATACTCCTCTCGGTTCTAATACTAGATTTAGCTCACTCTGGGGAATGCTACAGACCTACCTTGCTATTTCTTTCCCTTTCAAACTGTTCCTCAAATTGTCTGATTTTCTTCTGAAGTTTCTTGACCAACTGATAAGGTGTTCTGTCTTCTCTCTTTTCATCTTTTGAACTAAAGGATGATCTTCGAATTCTGAATTAAAACAAAAGGCCAACAGTTAAATTTTCAAGTACCAACACTGTATCTCTTAATGCCCTGACATAACACTATTAGCAATAAGTAAATCTTAAAGGTAAAAATAAGTCCCTAACACTAAAGGACAGGTAGTATAAAGAAACACTGTAATATTACAGACCACAAATTTAGCTAATACAAGTGGTGATGCAAACAGTTTGGAATCATTTAAAACTGGTTTGGACAAAGGCAGAAAATAAAAGGATACCTAGCAGCTCAGAGCTCTTGTAACTGTTCAAACTGCATAGCAAAGTTTTTGACATTCAGATCCATTTAAAGCTTTGATCAAAAAAAGATCAGGAACTGCTCAGCACCACCTGCTGCTTCCTTTACAGAGCTCTGTATTTCAGCAATGAATACACAAATAAATGAATAATACACCATGAGAAAATGTCTATTTGAGAACAAACTTCAAACACTACACCTCAATGAACTCAGCAGGGTCAAAAAAAAAAAAAGTTACAAAAACGTGCTCTATAAAATCAGAGAGAAAGCTCTGAATTCTATGTCTAGAAGACTAAATCTTTTTTTTTTTTTTTTTTTGAGATGGAGTGTCACTATTGAAGCCCATGCTAGAGTGCAATGGTGCAAACTTGACTCACTGAAACAATAGAAATCTGGGTTCAAGCGATTCTCCTGCCTCTATACCTAGTAAAAGACAGTGCTTTAGATGAGGAATCCAACTTTTCTGGATCATGCAGGAAACGCTGGCTTTGCCCAAAATCTAAACTGCGGTGT